AATTAAATTTTAAACTTAACGTTTGTCAATGCAAAATAAATGGCAACTTAATTCGAATTAGTTTACCTAATTCTGAATTAAATTTTAATTTCGCTTCTACTTAAAGAATTACACCACTCGTGGTAAAGGCACACGTGGAATAAATTTTTCTTCTCGCAAATAAACAATAGTTTAATTCATTTGTAGTTTTACATAAAATCTAGTTTAAAATTGTCAGTTCTGTATTTTCTCAAAAAAGAGTTTGAAATAAATCTAAATTCTTTTTTATGCTTCTATCACCATTCTAGAATTGGTCCGACACTTTTGAATATCCTATCACTATCCTATCACTCTATAAAGAGACTTTATTCTACACTTTAGATGCGTATAAAGTACCATTTTATCCACTGTTATAAAAATAGAGCAATAACTATCACAAATCATTTAATATTATTATTAACATTCACATTGACATTTATAGATAATTTAAGTTCGTTGTCATTCAAACGTATCTTTGATTCTTCATTTCTGGAACATGTAACATTTGGCACCGAAGAACTAGAAGACTCCTAATTCATTTGTTTTACATAAAATCTAGTTTAAAATAGAAAAAAAACTATTTCGTTCAAAAATTATGTTAATTAATTTTATTTTGAAAAAACAGTTAAAAAAATATTAAGTTAATAATGATTTGTTTTTTCGTCAGTGTCATTATTGATGCATAATTTTTTTTAAGAAATGGTTTGTTAAATTTTTCATTAAAAAAACTCAATATTTTCATTTAATTAATTTGACGTTTGTCAATGCAAAGTAAATGGCAAATTAATTCGAATTAGTTTAATTCTGAATTAAATTTTAATTTGGCTTTCTGTAAACCAGCTCCAAGAGGAATTTATGTTGAAACTGCAATCCGATGTCAGCTTGCGGTTAGAAGGGTCGGCATCCAGCAGGGGCTGGTTTATTGAGGCGTCATTTTCATTTTGTTCGACTGTACGTCACTTACCATGTCATTTAGGTTCCCTTTAGGAACCACCAAAACGGTTCTGAGTGATTCTCAATAACTTTTTCAGTTAATCGATATTGCTGATTGCAAATTTTAAAATTGACACAGTGTATAATAAATACATCGAAATCTTTAATTCTGGAAATTCAGTGTTTACGTTCAAGAGGCAAATTAAGAACTTGCTTTTGAATAATTAACTTTGTTCAACTGGATTGGCTAACTGATGTTAAAAATAAATGCAAAAGAATTTTGGTCTTTTTTTTTCATTTCTTCTTATAGAATTCTTTCTTGTTTTTTCTTTTTGTTTTTGAGAGACTGGCAATGGTTTCTTTCTTTATTTTTAGTTATTAAGTAACTTACAAATTTATTTTTATTTAAATTTTAAATTGTTTATAATAATTATTTTTATTTTTATGTTATAATTGTTTTTTTTCTATTAATTTTCTATTGACGTTAAGTTGAATAGCTTCAAGTTAGACTTCGCCTCCGCATCTTTGTATTACTTTTAATTTATTAATAAATACCTTTATTATTATTATTATTATAAACAGACGAAAGAAAAGATCTAACCTTTTTTTCAGATACCCAAATACGATTTCAAAATAATTAAAAATGGTAGTTATCGATTTTTGAAGATGAAAATGCAATTAAAAAAAAAATAAAAAGTCTAAATATTTCAACGGTTAAATTTAGATATAGAGAAGTCTGATAAAAACTTGAGTAATCCAACAACGTACTAAAAAACAATTTTTTGTACGTGTTCTTCGAAAATAAATTTAAAAAACCTCTATTTTTGGCCATTTATTTTTTTATAAGAAAAACTGTGAAAGAATTTTTTGATTTAATTTTGGTGTATTGTAGATTACTTACTTTTATGTGACTGTCTTTTTTCATGCAATTTAAACTATACGTTGTTTCATCAAAAAATATACACTATTAAATTTTGCAATCCGTTACAAATGTTCAAAATGAGATAAAAACTCTGTGTTACTACTGTGTGTGTGTGAGAGAACAACAGGAACAACATTCAATTGTAAAAAAAACAACTTGTCTACTGTTTTTCTTAAAAATTCATTTCTTTCTTTTTTCGTTGGAAGACTTGTTTAAACAGCTTTTCGTTGAGCAAGCGACAAATTCTTCCGGTGGTACATTTTGGAACTGGCTAGAGACGTGCCATCTACGGGACTGTAGAGTAAATAGTTTTTGAAAACTGTAATTTTGTAGTTTAATGTAAAATTACTTAAAATGTAAAAAAATCTCAAAATAAAAGGAATAATAATGTATAAATTATGTACTATATTTTTTGTTTGTCATTATAACTATTATTGTGACATCACCATCTATTTATCTTTCTGTTTTTAGCCATCAAAATTAAAAGAAAGAAAGCAAGAAACAATACAGGGTGTATCAGAACTTGCGCTGCAGAGAAAAATTTCAAGTAAGATAAGACACAAGAAACATGAAAAATTAAAAAAAAATCCTATCTGTCCAAAAATTTTCTAATAGCCTGTAGGAAAAAAACTTAAAAAATTACTTTTTCAACAGAAATAAATATAATCAAAGTGCAAAATTTAAACTCTCATAACTTCGAAATTTTTATATATAGAATTTTTTTAACATTTTTTCGTTGTTCCTGGTATCTTACCTTACATAGCGCGAGTTCTGTATAAACAGAGGCATATCATGACGACCAATATTTAAAAAATAATATAGCAGGTGAAAAAGCTGAAATAACACACACGATGTTGGCATCATAAGAAGAGAATTTTCTGAAAGTAACCTAGCTGAGTTTAAATTCCTCTTAAAAACGAAAATGGGACGATGTTTATAATGAAGTAGAAAATCATTAAAAATTTAGAAACTTCCATAATATTTTTAGTAACTATTTTGTTTGTGCCTTTCCTATGATTGAACATAAAAATACTTATTGTTCCTCTCATAATAAAACAAACCAGAAAATAAAAAAAGGGCAAATACTAAAAGAATTGCATAAAAAAACACACTAGATCACAAAATAATAAACTGTTAACCGAATACAACTCTTTTAAAACAACATAATTACAATATTGAACAAGCAAAAAAACAATATTTTAACAATTTGATAAATTTGTGTCATTATGTCTACTTACATTTCTCCATTTTTTCTATCAAAATCTTCTGCTGAGATAATTGTTTTTCCAGCAGTTCCTGTTTTCTCTTTCTGAGATTATTTTTAATTTTCAACACTTCCTTCCTCTGCTCATCTTGATTCTTTTTTAATTTTTCTTTGGCGGCTAGAAGCTCCTGATTCTTTTTGATCGCTGCAGCAGCCTGTGCCTTAGTTTCTTCCTTATTTCCGGTCGCCGCTTTTCCACCTTTATCTTGTGTTTCGCCTTCGTTTACGTTATCTGCCCGCGGCTGAACTAAATTGAGGACTTTGTTAGTATTTGGGGGTACAATAGCCGAAACCCCCAGACGATCTTTAACGGACCGCGGAGGGACGTTCTCCTGTTTACCTTTTATCGAAACAACACACAACATTAAATCTAGACCAAACACAAAAGAAAAATAAACTTTTAACTTACCTTCCAAACTTCCATTATGCCAAAAGACTTTGATGAATCTATTGTTGAGAACGGCTTCAGTACTCCGATAGGCAGCATTGGCTTCAGCGTGACTAGAAAAAGTGACGATCGCCGCTTCTGGATCACCCTCATAATTCACCTGGATGTTAACTGGTTTGCCAAACTTGGAAAAATGGTTGTTCAAATGTGTGATGGTGTTCAGACCTTGCGGGATTTTTTTCAATTCTAACGAACAGTTTGCTGGATTTTTAGATCTCGGACCTAGACGGTTAAAATCGAAACTTTTCTTTTTGAATGGTGCTTCATGGTCACTGGTGTTATTACCGGCGTAATTGGACTGTTGACGAAAGCCGCCCGGCGGGTACTGTTCAGGTTGTTTGTTGTCCATCACGGGCACAGGAATCAGCTCGCGTTGCATATTCGGTTGGTTGGGGAAGGCGCCCATCATGGGACCCTAAACATAAATAGACCAAAGCGATAAATTATTGTTAACTCTTTCTAGTCTTTTTTTATTAAGGTTGAACTATACTGGTAAGTAATGTGTTTCTGGCACACAGGGTGGCGCTATATTTAACGACGTAGCAGACAATCCAACATACAGTTGGTACTCACGCTTTTACCCTAAACAGATTTGGTTCATTTCTTCGTTCCTTTATATACTAGCCTTTCATATTTCTATTAGTCACTAAAATAATAAAACTTTTAGACCCGACTTCGGCTAGGCAAGTGGATGCAAAATGATGAAACTCTGATTTATTTAGAAAAATTTTAGTAATTTTAGTAGTAGTAAGGATGTCGGTCATACTAGAACCAACAATTTGCAATTTCGAACAATAATTGCTCTTTAGAGATTGTATAATTATAATTCTCTCTTCTTATTTGTTATTTACTAGTAAAAAAACATATATTTTTTTAAATTGTAATTAGTAGTTATCTAGAAGAACGGATTAGGGATCATTCCAGATAAATAAGATTCGGACGACGAATACAGTGGGTTATATTTTAGGAAGTATTTTATTTATCTCACTTTGCAAAAATACGTAAATCTGAAAAATATAAGAAATAAGAAATAATTAAAGCTGCAAAGATGAAAAACTATAATAATTTTTATAAATCATAGTAATTCGTGGGGGGATAATGACATTCGACACATTTTTGTAAAATTGCTATGATCGTTCTTAGAAGTTACTCATAAGTAACAGGGATTATGCCGCTTTGCCGCTATTGCAATAAAACATTGACATTTTTACCATTTAGAATAAAATTTTCATTTTTGTACGCTAAGCCATCGACATTAACTTAATGTTTTACAAATAAAAAATTTACAATGATAAATAAAATGCATAGTAAATACAAATTAAAGTCTAATTAGTAATATGAGATCAGGTCAGTGGATACAATTACACTACTGCATAATTATAATATTATTTCGTAATAATATGGCTTCCCATTTTATTTAATTTTAAATATCGTTGTTCAATGAATAATTGTGTACGTTAAGTAAAAAAAAACTAAATCTGCTGGTTTCTCACTTTTCCAAGACTTTTGTTTAATGAAAGGAATTTATTCCTTCTAACAAAAACAAGTAGCTAGAATCAGAAAATCCTAATTCATACATTGGATAATACACAAGTACTATTTTACCACCTAATTCAAGTTTAATAAAAAGTTTAGGTAAATATTGAGTAATCTGATGTAGATTTTTGTTTTTCGTTCTCTGTCAAAATTAGAGAATGCCGGCCAGATAGCTCCTGAACTAGAACTAGAATTTTATAAAGGAACCTTCTAATTGGGGCCTACATTTTTATTTATTTTCTTTATAAATTTTATTTTACAAGCAATTCTTTTTTATAACAAAGTAATCTAGTGACTAATTTATATAATTATATTTGAAATTTAAACAAAATTTTTCCCGGTTGAGAATATTGATAATATGCATATATAATCTTATGCGAATGTAAAACCGTTTCGCCGCATACATTTCACTAATATTAGTAATTTTTAACAATATCATGTCGATCAAGGAATGCGAAATTAAATTGAAAAAAACTTATTCTTGATGTGAGCATTTTTGTTAATTTACAAATAATTAATTTTGGTTTAATTCTTTTAATTTCGATGTCTAAAAATAGAAAGATAAATAGCTGGTGACGCCATAGTAACAGTTATAATGAATTGAAATAAACAAAAAATTTAGTACATAATTTATAAATTATTATTCCTTTTATTTTGAGGTTTTTGCATTTTTACTATTTTTACATTAAAGTACAAAATTACATTTTTCAAAACGACAAATTGTTTTTTTCACAATTGGATGTTGTTCCTGAATTAAATCAGTACCTCTCACACAGAGAAACACAAAGTTTTTATCTCATTTTAAATATTTGTAACGGATTGCAAAATTCAATAATTTTTATTTTTTATGAAAAAACGTATAGTTCAAATTGCATGAAAAAAATACAGTAACATAAGTAGGTAATCTACAATACGCCAAAAATAAATCAAAAAATTCTTTCGTACAGCTTTTTTTATAAAAAAATATAATGGCCAATAGATTTTTTTTTAATTTTTTTTTGAAACGACGGGCAAAAAATCTCAAATTAATATACCATTGCTGCTAAGCCCATCAAAAAGTAATTAGATTTTTTCACTTATAATTACACGAGAGTTTTTTTTTTTTCGAAGTAAACTTGACATTTTAATGAGAACTTTGTTTTCTGGCAACTTAGAACTGGCAGTTTTTGAGTTAAATTGCCTAAAGGAAACAAAACTCGAATTAAAAATGTCAAGTTTTCTTCGTGTAATTCGGTAAGACAATTTAATGAATACGTAAATCCGATGATGCAAACCTACTAGATTCAGACGCTTTCAAAAGTTAGGTTCCGTTTTGTCGCTGTAATAGTTAGGGCAAACTTTTGTCGCTGTCATAGTGACAAAAACACCGCGGCTTATGGGATTTTTAGTGTATGAAAAAAATTGTCAGAATTTTTGGACTACGATTAATTTTTTTATTTATTTAAAGCTTCTTTTTACTGGATTTGGACCTCTATATTTTTTTGGTCCCCAACGCGACAATATAATGGAAACCATCAAAAAGACACAGGAATCGATCGAAAAATTCTTTCGTACAGTTTTTTTTTACAAAAAATGAAATGGGCAAAAATAGAGGTTTTCTTTAATTTATTTTTAAACGACAAACAAAAAACTTCAAATTAATATACAGGCTGTATTATAAAAAACACCCCAAGCCATAATTTCATTACTTATAAAAACGTTATAATACTTTTTTGCTCAAATTGAACAGTTTTTTGTTATCAATAGTTTGCTTGTCTTAAATAAATAAAATGAAATGTTCTATTCTTTCCACAGACTACTTTATTTTATTTAATTTTCAAATTGCCTAAAATCAAAAGTGATAAATAATAGCAAGTGAGCTTGTTGAAAAACAATTTAATGAGGAATCTAAAAACAATAATATATACAAATTGTTAGAAAGCAGCATTGATTGAGCATTTACGTCAAACAATAGATGTCAAGAAACTGTTCAACTTTGATTTAAGAAATATTGTTATATCTTTAAAAATAGTTATGGTTGGAGCGTTTTGTGTATTGCTGCTAAAGCCATCAAAAAGTTATATTTTTTTCTGAATCTGAACTACGATTTTTTTTATTCAGTATAGTTCAACCTTAAAAATGAAAAAAAAAAAAACACTCACCCTCGGCATGCCCATCGGCCTCGGCCCTCTGAACCCCCCAGTCCTACTACTCCACATTGCTGGTGCTTGCGGGTTGTACTCTGGTGGTAGGCCTCTCGGTCCCATCATGGGATGTCCCGCTGCATTCAAAAGTGGCGCTCCGATAGGAGGTACATCGGCTGGTGCCGCGTTGGGATTATACGTCAAGACGCTGCTCAATGCTGAATCTTCTAATACCACCGGATCCACTCCGTGATCAAACGGACACATCTCGCCTCTCATGCAATATCCCTTCTCGTCAAAATCCCTACATCTCCTCTTCGAGTTCTGTTGCACCACAACACTCTGTATGCTTTGAGTACTATTCGTCAATCGTAAATCCATATCGCCATGATTCGAATCTTGAGTCGGCGTACCGGGCCGTGAATGACCGTCTTTAGCATCTTTTTCTTTGAAAGAGTCCTTGCGTGTTTTTTCCGCTGATCGAGACCTAAGTAAAGTAAAAAAATAATAATAAAAATAACCCCATGACCGTATTCACAAAGAATCCCATTCTGTTACGAAAAAGTAGAATTGTACTTTTATTTCAATTATTTTTACAACGCAAAAATAATTTTCCAATTTTTTTGTTACAGGCTATTAGAAGAGGAAACAAGGAAGTTGTATCCTAAATTGTAACAAAATGTACACCTTTACTAAATAATTATAAAAAAATATATACAATAGTCCGGGCAAATTAGTCATAAAAATAGTGGTCAAATAACGAAAATTCCGACAGAGCTAAATTTTGGTGGAGACCTTGGGTATACCATTAGAAATAAAGTGTCAAAAGTCCCCATCGATCCCATGTGTGCTAAAAAAGTTATTCGGGGTCAAAGGTCAATATTTGACGTTTTTTAGATTTTTTTCGAAAACGGCCAGTTTTATCAAAAAAGTAGCTCAGACGAAAATTATAGATCTTAAAATTATCTACAAAATGGTCTTTATACTTTTTTTCCAAGAATCACCATTCCTGAGATATCGCGATTTTAAAAGTTGAAGGAGTAACGTTCTACATCATATGCACATACAGAGTGCGCCAGAACTCGCGCCCCAAAGACAAATGCCATGTAGGGTAAGGTACCAGAAACATAAAAAAAAATTAAAAAAATTCTATCTATAAAAATTTCGAAGTTATGAGAGTTTAAATTTTGCACTTTGACTCTTATTTATTTCTGTAGGATAAATAATTTTCCACGTTTTTTTGCTACAGGTTATTAGAAAAGGAAACAAAGAAGCTGTATCCTAAGTTGTAACTCTGTTTAATATTATTTGTAGCTTTTATTGACAAAATTTTTGTACCTTTATCAAATAATTATAAAAAAACATATACAAGGTCATCAGTATTATTAAATAGACATAAAAAAATGACAAATGTCAAAAAATAAATGTCAAAATTTTTTGACAGATAGAATTTTTTAAACATTTTTTCAGTACTCTGGGGAATAACCAATTACTCCCTTTCAAGGAAATGCGCGATTTTTTGAACAAACTGTATGTATTACCAAATAAATTCTTTTTAATTCTAATGGAATCGAGATATTTATAAGTTTAATGAAGTAGAAGAAAAATTTCAAGTAAAATAAGATACCAGGAACATAAAAAAAATGTTTAAAAAATTTTATCTGTCAAAAAAATTTGACATTTGTTTTTTGACATTTGACTATTTTTTTATGTCTATTTAATAATACTGATGATTTTGTATATGTTTTTTTACAATTATCTAGTAAAGGTACAAAAGTTTTGCCAATAAAAACCACAAATAACATTGAACAGAGTTACAATTTAGGACACAGCTTTTTTGTTTCTTCTTCTAATGGCCTGTAGCAAAAAAACTTGGAAAATTATTTTCCCTACAGAAATAAATAGAGTCAAAGTGCAAAATTTAAACTCTCATAACTTTGAAACTTTTATAGATAGATTTTTTTTTAACTTTTTCTATGTTTGTGGTACCTTACCCTACATGGCATTTGTCTTTGAAGCGGGAGTTCTGACGCACTCTGTATGTGCATACCATGTAGAACGTGACTCCTTCAACTTTTAGAATCGCGATATCTCAGGAATGGTGATTGTTAGAAAAAAAGTATAAGGACCATTTTGTAGATAATTTCAAGATCTATATTTTTTGACTGGGCTACTTTTTTGATAAAACTTACCGTTTTCGAAAAAAATCTAAAAAACATCAAATTTCGACCTTTGACCCCGAATAACTTTTTTAGCACACATGGGATCGATGGGGACTTTTGACACTTTATTCCTAATGGTGTACTCAATATCTCCACCAAAATTTAGCTCTGTCGGAATTTTAGTTATTTAAAATGTTTATTTTGACCGGACTACAAGATCATTATTATCATTAAATAGACATAAAAAAATGTCAAATGTCAAAAAATAAATGTCAATTTTTTTTAAACATTTTTTCCATGTTCCTGGTATCTTATCTTACTTGAATATTTTTCTCTGGGATGTGAATTCTGACACTCTCTGTATAATAGGTTGTAACAACAAAATTCAGAAGTATCCTTCACATGAATAACTCTGTATACGATTCTATCGCCAATTCAGGCAAATCAAGCGCAGGCACCACAGTGTGTATATAAATTCTGTTTCATCAAACACTTCCCAATTAAAATTTATACCTTTTTCATATTTCAAACTTCAATCAAAAATATTTTATAGTCAAGAAAAAACCCATAAAAAAATCAAAAGTAAGTTTTAACAATACTTAAATTCACCACTATTTAAATAGACTACGTAATAACATGTGTTCTCATTAAAAAAAAACTCTAGAGTGCTTTGACAAATACATATGTTTCAAATGAACACACGTTATAATAATTAACAGTATACAGACTGTCCCACCTAAGACTTTCGGATCTAATATCTATATTATTTGTCAAAGAGTTCTAACGAAATTTACAATTTACAATGTGATTTAACATACTTTTTAAAAATACTAAACTATTTAAAATTTATATTAAATTGTTAATCGCCAATAAAAAATGTCATAAGCAAAAATCTCTCCTTGAAAAAGGTCCCGCTTACAAGATGAAGATGCAAAATTATAGACGGCTACAAAAAAAACGATATTACCCTGTCAGGCGACAATGACGTTGATATTTGACGTTTATTGTTTCTCTTCAAAAAGTTAATAATGCTATTTAGGAACTGCATTTGTAGGGTAACCAGTTCAGTACAATAAAAGGTGCTTGAAGGTACCACCAATGGTTCTAAAAATTCTAAAGGTGTTCTAACTTAATTTACCACAGATTTTCAGAGTTGTACAAAATGTTACTTAGAGACGTTTTAGAGTTAACTTTGATAAAATTCTTTCAAAAATTAGGTCAAAATTTTAACAACATAATGGACGTATTGCTGCTGATTGAGACGAGTGATTTTGTTAATTTTTTGTGTAGTGGTCTATTTTTTAGTGTTTAACAATAGGTACAACAGTAGTTTCATTTAATTTTAAATTGCGAAATTATGTGTTAAAATATTTTTTTTTTATCTTGAGGTAATTTTATTAATTGAATCTCCACCTTTTAAGATGTCTACATTTAAATTGCATAAAAATCCGTTGGCAAATAACAGAGATATTAGACCCAAAAGTCTTACATGGGACACCCTGTAGAGTCAATATGCAAAATTTAAATTATAATAACTTGGAAATGTTTATAGATATAATTTTTTTATTTTTTTCCATGCATCTGGTATCTTACCTTACACGGCACTGTTCTCTGAGACGCGAGTTCTGGCGCATCCTGTATAACGCACACGTGATATATTTTTTTTAGTTCTTAACAATATAGTAGTAGTTTCGTTTAATTTTAATTTAAAAAATTATGTGTTAAAATTATATTTTTATCTTAAGGTAATTTTATTAATACTAATTGAATTTCCACCTTATAAGTTGCCCTCATTTTAAATTTCATTTGGCATATAACAGAGATATTAGACCCGAAAGTCTTACGTGAAACATCCTGTATATTCAAAACTAGTAACTATTTATTAAAATAAAAATGAAGACAAAATTTCAAAGTACACTGGCCGTCAAAATTAACCGGACAACTAAAATTTTGCACTTTTTCAATATTTTTGTTATTCTTTGTCGGATTTCGACGAATTTTTGTTCGGCTTAAAGTACAAACTTTGCAGAACATTGTAATTTAATTCAATAACATTTCTAGGTTTGTTTTGCAACTGTTATTACTAAAAAACAAGAGCAGTGTTTTTTTACTTTTTTTATCCTTTGCAACAAGGACAAAATTAAGTTTTTACTTATTTCAGATTCTTGCCAGTTCTTCTCTGATTAGGAACCAATTTGTTTCAAAATTTTATTCTCTGGTGCCCCAGAGATACAAAGCATTGAAAAGGACGTTGCTTTTTGTAATGTTAATAAATATTCGTTCAGAAAGTAGGCTACAACAAAACCGAAAATTATTGTTTAGGTCACCAAAAGAGGACAAATACGTCTTTGAACACGAAAAATCTGAAAAACTTAGAACTTCAAAGGATTACAACAAGTAAAATAGTTAATTATTGGCAACTTCCATGCGCCTATTTTGACGTTTTGGCACATTTGGCCTACTTAATACGAACATTCATTGAAATCGGAAATGTAATGCTTTTTTGAAGGTTTATATCTTAAAATTATGGAAAATCAGATAATAATTCAGAAAAGAATAGGCAATAATCTGTAATCAGTAAAAACTTAACTTTGTCTCTGTCGCAGTTTGAAAATAAGTAAAAAAACAGTGCCTTCTTCTATTGAGTTTAGAAGACAAAGCTAGAAATGTTATTGAATTAAATTACAATGATCTACAAAGTTTTTTCTTTAAGCCAAACAAAAATTCGTCAAAATCCGACAAAGAATAACAAAAATATTGCAATGTGAAAAATTTCAAAATTTTTGTTGTCCGGTTAAATTTGACAATCAGTGTATTTTTAGAATACATTATAAAACACAAAAAAAGTCAACATGTAAACATAGCACTCACCTGCTCCGACTGGTGCTTCGCGGTGGCGTCCTATTTCTGTATCGACCACTTCGATGTGGATGTTTAGGACTACGAGAACGAGATCGTCCTCTCGATGGAGATGGTGTTCTAGAGCGTCGACGATCGAATCGTCGAGGAGGTGATTTGTTTCGCCAAGCACGAGGACGGTCACGTTTTTCTCGATCAAGACGATGTTGATCACGATCGCGTGATTTCGAACGTTTCGAGCGATCCCATGAACGGGAACGCGAACGATTGCGAGAGGACGAACGATGGCGGGAACGAACACGAGACTTATCTTCTTTATCCTAAAAGAAACATAGAGCATATACTTCAGAAACTAATACAAATTTTCCCAATCATCAAAAATCAATCATTTTTTGTTGACTGGGAAAATTAATACCAAAAAATCATTATCTCCTAGAATAATAGTACAGTCGCTAAACACATAAAACTGGTAAATCTAAAATTTAATCGATGTAAAGTCAGTTTTTTTATTTAATGCGTGTGGATTAATTAATAATTCGAAAGACGTGCCCGATAGCTATCTCTTTTCAACATTTGTAAACAACCTTGTTGCTCTCTCGCTACGTACTCGTATTTGAGTAAAGTCGGTCCCGCTATTTCTCTCATTTTAACAAGTGTGTCTTACCGTCACGTAGGTCATTTGTAAATTCATTTTTAATGAGAAAACTGTTTTGAGGCTAATAATTTTAATCTCTACATCATCATAACAATCGTAATTCAAGCCCTATAAAAATTCTAATGCTAGGGAGAAGCTTTAATTTTTGACTTTAGTACCAAAATGTCAGAAGATGTCAAATGTTAAAAACAGACGGAGATCATGTGTCCTTGATTCACACTACCCCCACCAGCAAATAAAATAAAAAAAATAGACTGTATATCAAACCATTGAATTGTCAACATTTGTCAGTGTCAGTACTAATTAACTGACAGTATCATTAGTGTTTTCTATTTCGTCGACTGCAAATGGTCATCGATAGTAACACTGCGGACTTTTTAAAGCAAATTTAATTCTCTACAAATTTGTGCTTTACAGTTTTTTTTTCTATCTTTAATCGTATGTGCAGCATTTTCATAAAACTTAAAATATAAACAAAAATTACTGTCCTGTTATCATTTTAAATTACGGTTTTCAACAATTTTTTTTGCTATATTTTTATTTCTTACTGTAAAGTATTTAATATTCTACGTGTTTATAATTTGTCTTTTTCTATTGTCATCATCTTCATTTAATTAAAACATTTTTTTCGTTGCTCTTAAATTGTAGACACGTTCCTGATATTCTATCATGGAATGGTAGTAATGCATTAATCTGTATTTTTTCAAATTGAATAATAAAAAAAATTGTATGTATAAAAAAAACAGACTATAGTTTAGAAATTTGATGAATTTTTTTTCCAATATCTGGTAATTTTTAAGAAATGAAAAACACTGCGGTTACAAGTTATAACAAAAAATAAATACATTTTAAAAACATCGAGTATTTCTCCGAACAATTAGTAGAATTAGCTTTTTTTATTACGGATTCGACAAGAAACAAAATATGTAGTTATCAATATAATAAATTAGGTATAATGTTGCAACATTGCAAATATCCTAGGATACAGAAAATGTCCAAGTAATATTCAATTATTGGAAACGGTAGCAACAAAAAAATCAATTTTCAATGTTGTTTGTTCTGTGAAATTTGAACGATTAAAGTTAAAAAGGTTTCCTAGATACGAAAAATACCTGAGTGAAATAGTTTTTTAGTAAAAGAAAATTGTGCAATATTGCCGCTTTGTGCTGTTAGACAAACTGTTTAAATTAAAAAAAAAAATCTATTTAGACTATTTTTGGAATGATGGTCACAATGTTTCAATAAAAAAGGACGCCCCTGTTTCAATCGTGGGCGCTTTTTCTTCATCACCCTGTATAATAAAAAAATGAGGCTATTGTTTGCATTTTTCACGTTATCAGCTAGAAGCTCAATTATTTAGTCTTTTCTCAAAAATAAGTATAAAAATCACTCAATTAGTTGAAAATAGTAGATTATGTTAATAGGAGTAAAAGTGATTGTTTATGTGGCGAAGCTGAACGTTCATTTTGCCGAACGGAGTGAGGCAAATGGATTCAGCTGAGCCACATAAACTCACTTTTACTCCAAATAACATATACTATTTTATCTGCAAACGATTCAGATGGAACGAAAAGAGCAACACACCAATAATCAAGTAAATCACCTCAATAATCAGGACGCTTTGCAATAAAATCACAACAAACGTCACGCGTCAGTTTCGGAATTTGTGTTGAGATTTCACAAGTGTGGATTGATTTAACTGGTGAATAACTGGTGTAGTTTATAGTGCAAAYTGTCGAATGCTGATAATATACCTTGTARCRCTCCAGAAAATMCTGAAAAAGCGAAAGGGACAAGAAAGAGACAACAGTGGTAAATGTCAAAGTAAGTGTCAAGTAAAAGTGAAAACGCCTAGGCGTAAAAACAGTGTTTTTACTCCATGTCTGAAAAGTAAAACTTTTACCTGTGTCATTTAGTCATAAAAGTGGTCACTTTTGTGACGTTTGCAGATAAATAGTTTTTTTTTGTATACGCTCCCGAAAACAGCTGTTTTAAGAACTCATTTGAGTCCCTAAAATGATTCTTTTCCGGGCTCAATAAAATAGTACGCAAAATGGTTATTTTAGCTACTCAGGCCCCAAAAAAAAAACAGTTTTTCCGAAAAGTCAATTTGGTTACTATAGTATCCAATTTTTTTTAATTAATAAATTCGTTTTTTAGGAGCTTTAATGAAAAAATGTTGTTTGTAACACATATTTAAAACATTTTTATAACACGTACCTTTTTTGCGGACTTATTTGCTATTCTAGACTCGTTCGCAAAAGCTGTATATTAGATAATTGTAACAAAAATAACTATTTTTGTATCCTTAATAGGAAACAGTCATTTGATCAAGTAGAATTCAAAAAAGAAATGTTTTAATTTACTAATTAGTAATAATTAGCAACACTAGACTCGTTAGCAACACAACCATAGAAATAAATAAGTATGACATTTAACATGCGTTACTACGGTTTACTTTTAATATACAACCATGTTAAAGATTGTAGAAAAAAAATTTTTTGTTGAAATATTCTTGGGATTTCCACGTTTTCCATTAAGGATACAAAAAATAGGATGTTCAACTCGTAAGAAAAGTGGTTAACTATTTCGCAAAATTCGCAAAAACTTAATTTACTCATAAATCAATCTGTTTTCACTCGATTCACTTTTCTTTACTTGTTAAACAATCTACTATTATTACGAAGCCTATGGACAATATTTTTTATAATAGTAAACATATGTTTAGTGTCAAAATTCAGTCATTTTTGACGTCAGTTCGCTACCAGATTTGAAACAAGCTCTATCATAACATTCATAACACAAGTCACGTGTTGTAAACACATGACAACTCATTATACCGTATTTGAATATAAAAAACATATTTCACTTACGGAAGTGTCACTTTTTCTCATTTCTCTATCCCGTTTCGATTCTTGCTCTTTCCGGACCACACTAGAGCCATTAACTGCTTCACTTAAATTGGGTAGTTCGCTAGGATGTACAATTGGTTTCGTTTCTTTGGTTGTTTTCATCATAATTGGATTTGGAGGATTTGTGTTTGGTATAACTGGAGTGGTAATATAATCCTGCGTTTCAAGCGTACGTAATACTAAATTTACAAAAGATTCAGTCTCTGAAAATAGTAACAAATTAAAACATTGAACATTAAAATTGACAAATATACCATTTTCTAAGAAAACCTCCAACTGACCCACCATAATCCGATGAAGTTCCTCTTCAGATTTATCTTTTTTTATCAAAGCTAAAACGTACTTTGCAAGTGCTGCAGGATCTGCATCGCACCTATAAGGAAAAAATAGTTGACATTACGCCATCATGAAACTAAAAGTGAGGTTATGTAACATCACATTTACCCAAGCCAAACATAATTAATCATTTTTCAGAGATGTTCATTTACTAACACAATTGTAATCATTGCCACTTGTGATTAATTCGAAATTTAACATTTTAAATATGACAAACCAAAAATATGGGGGTCAACTTACATCGGTTTTAAAACAGCAGTTAACCATGTTTTAAATGCTTCAGGTTGCTCGATTATCATTTTGAACTTTGGTTAATATTCATTTAAAATAAAATTGTAAAAAGACTCCACAAATTGTACACTTTTATGTTTTTATAGGTGCAAAATGCAACATATGACATGTACACTTTTCATGCGTTGACACAAACCAATAAAGTGAAGTTCGTCGCTAGGGTCGCCAACGCAGCGTGAACAAAATTACTAAAAATAACTAAGTCATGGAGTGGGAAGTCAGCCTGTTTAAATTTATTCCTTGTTAACAAACTTTATTTTAATAACAGTGTGTACATTATTTATTTAGTTTCAACGAAATAAATGACTAATGATTTGGATTTTAAACGAATTGTACGCCGATTCCAAATTGTATTCCTGGATGGATTTGATCGCCTTTTTCAAACGTGTGAGGAAAACAGTAATTTACTTCTACTCTTGCCATATTTCCGAGACGAAGTGCGATGCCTAAGCCGTATGAAATGCGTACGCTGGCGGTAAGTGACTCTATTAAATTTTTGTCACCTAAAAAATAGTTAAGAATAAATAATTCACTACAGGGTGTTCTGTCTAAACTCCACATTAAAAGTATTGAGTGTTCGAATAATCATATTTATTTGAAAATTGGTACATATCCATAATTCATTAAATTCTCATAAATAAAAATATATTCAAATATATTCCGCTTATACCGGAAGTCGGTCTCAACTTTCTTATTTTAAATGGAAAGCTATATTTTTTACTGCGTTTTTGGATTAATGGGGTTATTTTATGGGAGTTTTTATCAGCTTTCCCTATACCTAAATTTAGCCGTTTTTGAAATATTTGGAGTTTTTTAAAAATTTTTGGATCTGCACCTTCCACTTTAAAAATCGGTAACTCTGCCATTTTTTAAGATTTTGAATTTGTTTTTTTGACGTTTGAAAGAGAAAGCTTAGATCCTTTTTCCGGTGTTTTCAAATTTTGAAAAAAAAAACATATCCCAAAACTTTAAGGTTACTTTTGTAATAATTCAAATACTCATAATTAAATTTTTTCAAATGAAATACCCCAATTTTTATTTTACTAAATAGAAGAAAATTTACTAGCCACAACCGTTTTCACATAGTTTGCTATGGAAATAAAAAATGTCAAAATTTTCTCTAAACAAACGTCAACAGTAAATTACTATTTGAGAAATAGAGCCAAAATATGAGGAATCAAAGTTATGCAAACTTAATTATTATTAATAGGTTCTACCATGCGATCATTATTTAAAGATAACAAGTGAGAAAAAATATTTTTTTTTAATGAACGATGTCATAATTTTGTTACACTCCCCATAAATACAAAATAAATTAATTAAATCTAAGTTTGAGTAGCTTTGACTCTCCATATTTTGGCACTATTTGTCAAATAATAAGTCACTGTCGACGTTTATTGAAAAACAATTTTGACATTTTTGATTTCCATAGCAAACTATACGAAAATGGAGTGTCTAGTAATAGATTTTCGGCAGTCTTAACAAAAAGTCACCATAACTTAAAAATCATTATATTGAGGTATAGGAAATGTTAATACAGATCGATGCAGAATTAAATTCTCTTCCATTTAGTAAAATAAAAATTGGGATATTTCATTTAGAAAAATTGAGTTATGGGTATTTGAATTATTACAAAAGTAACCTCAAAATTGTAGGGTTTGTTAATTTTTTTTTTCAAAATTTGAAAACACCGGAAGAAAGATCTAAACTTTCTCTTTCAAACGCCAAAAAAACGAATTCAACATTTTAAAAAATAGCAGAGTTACCGATTTTTAAAGTGTAAGGTAAAAAAATATAGCTTTCCATTTAAAATAAGAAAGTTGAGACCAGAAGTGCCGCCATCTTGAAAATATTTTCATTTATGAGAACTTATATACCAATTTTCAAATAAATATGATTATTCGAACTCCCAATACTTTTAATGTGGGGTTTAGACGGAACACTCTGTATAATAATAAATACTTACTCAAGCTGAAATCCCCAACGTTTCCTGCAGTGATAAAAAGATGCGTTTTGAACAAATCCCCAAATCCTCCTCTTCCAGGTCTAAACGGCAAAGGGCTAAACAAATGCAACCCTGACGCCCAATACGCCATTGAGCCCAAAGCGTCACCCTCCGAATGGGGGCCCACTCCTCTCATTTGAAAACCTCGCAACGTTAAAGGCCCTCCCAGATAATACAAATCTGACATTCCAATTTTCATATCGTTACTCAAACCCCGCATGAAACCACCTGATAATGTTCCTTGCAAAACCTTAAACAATTTATTCATCTCATTTATTATTCGAAATTTAAAAAACTTACAAAATCCTCAACGATCGAATAATTTCCCTGAATGAAAAACTCGTTCTTTAAAAAACCAACGTCACCACCAAGACCTGCAATTTCCGACGTTAACTGCAAAAGACTGCCGGCTGTGGGAAAAATCAAATCATCCCTTAAATCGATTGATATTATGTGTCTCAAGGCCGATTTTAAACTAAGTCCCGCTTGTTCTCTAACTTCAAAAGAAGTATTTCGGCTTAATACAGCCAAATCACGGATAGTAGCCTCCCATTGAATGTTATGTTTAATCTGGAATTTTTCACAATAAGTCAAAATTTTATTACAGCTGAAATCAAATACCAAGGCAGTTGAGTGGAACCCAAAGTCAAAAAGTAAACCTCTATCTAGTTGTTTGTAACCAGATACAGGCCATTCAGCGTTTGATTGGAACACACTGGTGGTAAACCTACAATTTGGTTTTAAAATTAGGACAAAAATCCACGATGAAGTAAATTCAAGACGAAATTGGTATTTTTTTAAATTTGTATAGTTCAATACATCAATCATATTTTTCTGAGGGGCCGTCGACTCTGGAATTAGTTGTACAAATTTTAGGAATTTAATCGAAATTGCTTGGAATTATTAAAATTATATTGGGATTCTTTGAAATTACTGACGCCTCGGCTGCAAATATCTGAGCTCAACCGAAAATGAATGATTTCTACTCCTAGTAATATAATATACTATTTTCAGCCTTTCAAGTAAAAAATAAATTACATATAAAGGAATTTAGAAACGTGTGAATAAAAAGCAATAGTGACAATAATTTGAGTATCCATGCAGACAAGTATTTTTTCGTGTCGTTACCGTATTATTTTCAAATTATTATTATTTCTAATTAAAACAAATGACATAAAAGTGATGCAATATGTACCTATACCAAACGTGTTTCTAAAGAGGGAACTAAATATAATCAAGAAATATATAAAATAATATATAAAAAATGCTTTACAAAGAAGAAAATTTACAGGAATAAAAAAACATTAAAATTTGAACATTATCGCATTATTAAACATTGTTTAATAATGCTAATGGAAGATCCGGAAGTAGAATAGTAATTCCAATTTTAAATGAATTTTAAACTAAATTTTTTATCACAGTTCTTATGTACAGGTTGTAATTCCTTAAATTTGTCTCCTGAAATGTTTCCTATATCGGGTCAGAGAACTGATGCTTCAAACAATAATTTTATTTGTAATTTATTACATACAATCATTTTTGAAAAGGATTGATTTCATTAATTTATTTACTTAAAAGTGACCCGAGAAATTAGTTGTACAAATTTGAGGAATTTATTTGAAATTGCTTGGAATTATTAAAATAATGTTGGGATTGTATGGAATTACTGAAATTATTTGTAAACTTCTGGAATTTTTCTGGAATTGCGGGATTATTATTTTTTGATAATTTCTTTTGAAATTTTATACAAAGTGCGCCAGAACTCGTGCGCCAGAACTCACTCCCCAGAGAAAATTTTCAAGGAAGGTAAGATACAGTTGGAGACAAAATACTTTTAACTTTTCTGACATTTTAATGTAATTCAAGCTTTAATTAATGACAATTTCAAATTAATGACAGCTATTATATCTTTCTATCAAAAATATCTACAACTTGTCAACTATGATTGACAGTAGCTAAAAATAAAGTTAACAGCCCTAAAGCAAGCTTTACAATTTAATGTCATTGACGACCAAAGTATTTTGTCTCCAACTGTACCAGGAAAAATTTTGGAATTACAAGAATTAATTTGTAATAATAGAAATTAATCTAAAAATAATGGAAATACGATGGATTATTGAAATTACTAGAATTATCTGTGATTTCTGGAATTCTTTTTTGAATCATCGAATATAATTTCTTTTAAAAAATACATTAATTTTTTAGAACTACTATTAGAATTAATTTGGAATTACAGGAATTATTTTAAAATTACGCAAATTATATGAGAATTACAATAAAATTTTGATGGATTATTGGAATTAATGGAATCTCGGTGAATTTTTTTTAGAATTACTAGATTTTGTTTTGGAATTGGAATTAGTTTTCCACATGTTTTTAAGTTAACGGCCCCTCGTATTTTTCTGTTGTTTTTACAGCAACATAGAACAGATTTTTTTTTATAGCAAACACTTTTTCACATTATTTCAGTGAAGTTAAGAATAAGCTGTTCGATTTAGTTATAACGGGGAATGTTTTTATAAAACACAAACATGGGTCACCCTGTTAATTAATTAAATTCTGTTTTTGTACTCATAGAAATGGCTTACATAGGTCTATATTTGCCTCTCATTGGTTTGATAAAAGAAAGGTTAAAATTTGTCGTCCTTTTGGAACCATGACTGTACTCAACTTGCACCCGTTCTCCACGTCCGAACAAATTAGGAGCCCTTAGACCAATAAGTAGTGCACCTTCGTTGTTTCCCACTTGCGTCGTGACTCCTCCTGTCACCCTTTTATGTTCAGTAACGTTGAAAGTAACCTGTGATTAGATAATCAATTGTGATATTAATTCATAAACAATGAAATACTTCAAGTCCGTCAGGGCTCGCACCTTGTCCCTTACTCGTATCGATAAAAACTGCAATATTCTTGAAACATCCTAATTCATCAAGTTTAAGGCGGGCCTACAACTTTGCTCATTATTGAAAATTTGTGAGGTTAGGTTTTTACCCGGTGCGCCCTGAGGAGCACATCTTGGAAATCTGCCGCTTTAAATAAGTCCCTTATGCAATCTTCAATTATATCGTCTTTAGTCCGGGCCAATCCATCCACGTGAATTTTATCAACTCGGGCCTAAAATTTAGGTTAGGATTTTTCATTTGATTATTTTTGGAAGTGAGAGTACCTTAACCCCATCTAGAAAAATCTCGCGCGGGTCTGGTTGTTGTGGAGGTTCCGATTTAATCGGCTCTTGAGGGATCGTAGATAAAATTGATGCATTTTCTTCCGACTAAAATTGAGGTTATGTTATATTTAGAAATGATTAAACTCGTATTGGACTCACTTTTGCGTAAACTGTGCCCATAGCTTTATGTATTAATACGTGGTTTTTGTGTTAATGTAGCATTTCATTTAGTAATTAGTTGATTTTTCATGAAAAAATACTGTTTTTTGGAAAAATAAATGATATTGACAGATGACAGATTGCTCACTACGAAAAAACTTTGAATCGTCGAATTCCCTAAGTCGAGTTCTTGAAATTTTTAAAAATGTTCTGAAATTATAAAAACAATTCGAGGATTAAGAAGTTAAGGATCAAGATGTTAAGAAAGTTTTACTTCTTTGAGTTCTTGACTAATTATTATTCATAACCGTAATTTTAATCTAAATATGTTATTCCATGCAAAAATTGTGTGTAAGGACTTGATGGGCAAAGATACATTGGTACTTAATTGATTAGTTTAATAAAGAAAGAAAATGACGGTCCAAGTTATAGTAGTTGGAAAAGTAGTCAAGAAAATAAAAATCACGGCCTCCTCGATTAACATAGTCTCAAATCACATTTATGTCAATTCAAAAAAAGTTTTAGTTGAAATTTATTTTGATTTGTTATCAATTTTTCCTCCACTGTCACGACAAAAATTACTAAAATTAAAAGTGAGTATTGTTGTACAAAAGAAGGCCAGTTTTATATTGTTATGACAATTCGTCCAAAAATCCATAACCGGACAAAAGTATGTATTATTCGATCACCCAAAATTCATTTAAAACCCAAAATTAACAAATGGATAATTAGAATTGTTTGCAGTAGCTACTAAGGAGTTTCTGAAACAAGTTATCGTTAGATAAATTTTATCGATTCCATAATGATTGCTATAGAAACACAAATCAGATCAGCGCTATCTTAGTAACTATCGAACCGATAAAGTTTATTTTTAATTGTTCCAGAAGACAGTACATATTGACTGTAATAATCCAGAATGACAGTTTTTAATATAATTTTTATTGTAAAAGTCATTGGTTCGTCGCTAAGAATTTGAAGTAAGTTTTTTTTATCACTAGGTGTGGAAAAAAACATCGTTAAAAATGTTTAATACAGTATTTTAACAGGAACGTTACATTTGAAACTTGAATTAAAAACATAAAAAACATTTTTGATTAATTGTGAAGGTATTTTAATAAGAAAGTGTTTTTATGAATATGTTTGTATTTTTAATAAACGATTTTATTTATTACTTTTATTTATAGAAACATTAACATTTGTTTCAGTGGAATAAATGTGTAATAGCATCCTATAAAATATTTATTATACAAAGTGATCCACAATGACTGAATATGTTGGCAATCCTGACCCTAATTTTTAAAGCTTACCATTGGAGTACGCTTTTGATTAAGAACAATTCAACAATCTTGTGGGGTTGTACAGTTACGGAATTAAAATTTCGGTCAGTATTGTCATTTTCACAGTGGAAACTCTAAAACAACCTTTACATTAATAACCTCATTTTTTACTCTTGTCATGTTTATGTCATTTTAACATAAAAAATAGCGTCACTGACAGAAAAGTTTAATTGTCAAATGTCAGTCATGAATGTCATGGTGACAGTAAAAGGTGAACTTTTTGAAGTGACTGCCCGAAATTTTAATTCCGTAACTGTACGTCAAGTACCGTGCGATCAAAAAAAAATAGAGTATGCGTCGATTAAATTCTACAGTTGGCAGCACATTGGCTGGAAATTTTTCTACACAAACTAAAAGTGAAAATGACCATTCACCGTTTTCGTCTTGTACAGCAATAAAAATTTTCTGCGTTAAAGTGAACATTATTTTAAAAGTTTCCGCTGACATTTGATGTCAAAAATCAGGATTGCTGAAGGACTTTAATCACCTCCTACTCTAATTTATTGTTTTTTTTTTGATCGCACGGTATTTGTCAAGGAAAACCATATCCGGTTGCAGTGTTTCAAATTATTAGCAAAAATACTTTCAAATCTGTTGCCAACAGACTCAGTCTTTCTGGATCACTTCGTATTTAAAATTGCAATCATTGAATATACAGAAGAGGAATTAATAAAAAACTGAAACTCTAAAATCACTTTTTTACCGCAATGCAACTGCATTAGTTGCTAACAACTAACGATGTCATTGTTTTTTTAAATTAAATTATACATACAGGATGCGCCAGAACTCGCGCCCAAGAGAAAAGTCGCATGCAAGATAAGATACCAGGAACATGGAAAAATGTTTAAAAAATACTATTTATAAAAATTTCGAAGTTTTGACACTTGAAATTTTGTACTTTGACTTTATTTATTTCTGTTAGAAAAAAAATTTCCAAGTTCTTTTGCTGCAGGCTATAAGAAGGGAAACAAGGAAGATGTATTCTAAAATGTAACTCTGTTTAATGTTATTTGTGGTTATTATTGACAACATTTTTGTACCTTTATTAAATAATTATAAAAAAAAAACATATACAAGATTATCATCATCACTAAATACACATAAAGAAATGTCAAATGTCAAAAAATGCAATTTTTTAAACATTTTTTCCATGTTCATGTTCTTAGTATCTTATCTTACTTGAAATTTTTCTCTAGGGCGCGTGTTTTGGACACATCCTGTATTGACATGGGAAAGTAGATATGGGCCTATTTCTATTTCTTAAAATAATCCTTGTTTATCTGACTTTTTTGGTCTCTTTGGTGTTTTAATAAACAATTGCTTATTTTATATAATATATTTTGCAGTAAATAGGCTTAGAAGAGGAACAAAACACTTCGAGTATGTTTTATGACAGTTCCCATTAATTTTTCCTAAATTTTCAGCCTCCAACAACTTACTGCTAAACTTTTCCGTTGAGTTGCTTGAGAGTTCCAAAGATGGACTAAAACCAATCTTTACAAATTTCAAGCTATACCAAAAAAAATTCTAAAAACTTACGTAAACACAAAATGTACAATTTTTTCTAAAAGATTCTCAGAGTGATCTAAATGCATCGGATATTCTGCCATTTCACATATCAACCGATAAAGACATTCCTTCCCCTCTATACCAAAACTAAAAAAAAATAACAATAAGCAAAATACTGTGTTTTTTTTTTTTTAAATAATTAGGTACTTATTGAGGAATTTTATTATATATTTATAAAACGTTCCCCGACTCAAATCAAAATGGTCATTGGCTTTGGCTTGTATAATTTTCGGTCGAAAATTAGAAATGTTGTAAGGAAGATCATAATTCACTTGGAAACATAAGCTCAAATTAATCGATCTTGAAGGGAGAATTGCAGGAGCAGATATTCCGTAAGTAAACTGCAATATTCCTGTTGGAAAAATAATTCAAATGAAATAAAATCCATACCTGTAAAACAGTGGCGCGAGGAAATAACAAAGAACGTTTAGTAACAGAATGATTAGTTTCAGATAACGAAATTAAGAATAAATTTAGTACTAGCAGCAGTTGCACTTTTGCCATTTTTGATGAAGATTCAGTGACTTATTGAATGTGATAATCACAGAATCAAATATAGGCACTGGTTCATAGAGGAATGACCCCACCACATTGTAATTTTAATTAGCAGTGAATATTTTAACCGAGGTTATAAGAAATAAAATCCATATTACGTATTAGCTTTATTATAAATTATGCAAATTGTTAAAATTATAAAATAATATCACTCTAAAATAATGAAAATACTTTTTCACTTCATGTCTAAAGACTACTAGTGAATCAATACATTCGATAATATCCACCAAAAAAATCTGATGAGAAGAAAAGCGATGAGTGCTTTAACTCCTTGGTGCAACCAATAAAGTCTGTTCCATCTGGTGATGGCGTTGTCCAAGGTGTCTATTGGGTCTTGCAGGAGATAAATTCGTATGCCTCGAAGATACGAAGCGAAGAATTTATTCCAGTCAAGTTTTTTCAAGTTACAGAAGAAAATTTTCTGGTCCGCTTCAGACATCCGCTCAATCATTTTATTCACGTTCGAGGATTGGAATATCCAAGTCCGGGTTGAAAAATACGAGATGACCCGTGTAAATTTGTGAATTTTTTTGTAGATTCGGAGCATTCTGAAATTCATGTAATAATATTGTAATGGTAAACCTATAAAAAATATTTTTCAAGTAAACAATAAATTACATACAGGGTGACCCAGAGGTGCGTGCAAGCTCTATATCTTTGTTTCTATCCAAGCTATCCACTTGATATTTTTTTAATGGTAGATCCAATAGTGAAACACATTTTAAAAATATTTTTATTTAATACAGGATGTTCCAAAATAAGATACACAACTAAGTTCCGTTCTTTTAAACAAAAACCCCCAATTTCTGTTACATTTTTGAATTCGCCACTAAATTGTCGATATAACGCATCTTGTTTCTTAGACTTATTTTCAATAGTTTTTTACTTATGTCAATTTATGTATCAAAATAGCGTCATGCATAGACCCACAGAAAAATTTATAACTTCAGAATCATTCAAGATAACTTAACACACATTTTTTTCAGTCGATTGCTGAAGCTTTAGCGAATTTTTTTGCAAACTCGAAATCGATGTTCCATCACCTACTACGATTTTTTTTAAATGACAAATTACAAATAACAAAAACTCGACTTTTTCAAATACAATAACATCCTATATTTTATTGCATCGTTGCGTAGCATTTTTTATGAACTTTTTGCCAATATAGAGTTTGTGGGATTACTTGATAAAATTTGTGAGGTTTTTTCAAAATAAAAAATTGGTGTTTTTTTCCCAAAAAAAAGAAATCTATTAGATCGCTTTTGTAAAATTTGGCGGAATCCTACCATTTAAATGATTAAGCAACGTTTGCTAGAGTTCGGAGCTCATTTATTAGAAGACAGTAGCTTGTGTAGAGCATGATAGTGACTTATTTGAGCTTTTTCTAAAAGTAGACTTTTCTCAAAATTTTTACACTGTTTCCTGTCAATCATCCTTTCCTGTTCTTGTGAAGATTACTAAAATTGTTTCCTTTGTATCATTTTACTCCTATTTTTAGTATAATTTTATTTTATTGAAACATATTTTTTTCAGAATTGTATTGATAAGTTAAATTTTACGACAGCGGCTTATTCGATTCATTTTTCTTCAAAAAAAAGCTATCAACATTTCTCGTTTTGTAAAAATTTCACAAATTTTTCCACAATAAGAAACTAGGTGCTTTATATCGAAATTTAGTGGCAAATTCAAAAATGTAACAAAAATTGGTGGTTTTCATTTAAAAAAACACAATTTAATTGTGTATCTTATTTTGGAACCTCCTGTATTAAATAAAAATATTTTTGAAATATGCTTCATTATTGGACCTACCATTAAAAAAAAACAAGTTGATAGCTTAAATAGAAAAAGGGAGCTTGTACGCACCCCTGAGTCACCCTGTATAAAAGAATTTAAAAACGTAATTAAAACAAATAAAATGAAAGTGATGCAATATGTATAGCAAACATGCTTCTACAGAAGGAACAAAATCAAGAAATATATTAAATAAAATATAAAAATATATACAAATAAGAAAATTAACGTAGTAAGTATAAAAAAAACATTAAAATTTATACATTATCGCATTGTTTAATAATGCTAGTAGAAGATTTGAAAGTAGAATAGTTATTCCAATTTTAAATGAATTTTAAACTAAGTTTTTATCACATTTCTAATGGACAGGCTATCCGAAAAAATCGTTAAAAGCCTTGGATTGGTAATTCCTTAAATTTGTTTCCTGAAATGTTTCCTATAACGTGTCCACAGACCTTATGCGTCAAACTATAATTTGAATTGTAATTTATTATTACATACAAACAATCATTTTTGAAAAGGATTGATTTTATTGGTTACTTGGAATTTATTTACTTAAAAGTGACTTTCTTTCAAGTTTTCTTTAAATCGGAATCACCCGAGGGGCCGTTGACTCTAGAATTATTTATTAAAATTTGAGGAATTTCTTCGAAATTGCTTGGAATTATTTGGAATTATTAAAATTATGTTGGGATTGTTTGGAATTACTGGAATTATTTGTAAACTAGGTACTGGAATTTTTCTGTAATTTCTAGATTATTATTTTTTTGATAATTTCTTTTCAAAATTGTGTTAAATTTTATAGAACTATCGGAAGTAATTTGGAATTACAGGAAATATTTTATACATTTTTAACTGTCCCTCAAATAATAAAATAATAAATAATGTATGTAATCATGAGATACATATTTTTTTATAAAAATTAACGTAAGTAAAAAAACGTAAAAAAATTAAAAACAAAATTATTTTAACGTAAAAACGTAAGCATATTGAAAAATAAGAAATGCAAGAGCGTAAAAAAGTACCATATTACGTAACGGTTTCAAAGTAGACAAAGTATAGTTTGCATATACCCAAATGATTAAAAAACTCACACTCTGCTCGTTTTAGAAACTTTATCTTTGTGAATAATACTAGAATAATAATATATCTTTTTATTTTATCATAAAATGTCAAATTTGCATTTGACTAAAATCATTTTGAAATCTGTGAGAAGTTCCATTATTCCAGGCCTGGACTCAATCTTTTTAATGTAAATACGAGATTATATATGTAAAAACGTAGAAAAATCTAATTTAAAATTAGAGAAAATATTTTTTAATTACAAGAATTAATTTGTAATTATAGGAATTAATCAAAAAACAATGAAATACGATGGATTATTGAAATTACTGGAATATCTGTGAGTAGTAGTAGTAGTCCTACTGAAATTCTTTTTTGAATTACCGGAGAAAATTTCTTTTAAAAATTACATTAATTTTTTTGGAACTATTAGAATTATTTTGGAATTACGCAAATTATGTTGGAATTACAATGGAATTTCGATGGATTATTAGAATTTCGGTGATTTTTTTTGGAATTACTAGAATTTTTTTGGAATTAGAATTAGTTATTCATACACATTTTTTCCTCGGAATTACCGTAGGTTTTGCATTTATAAAAAATAATTGACAAATTTTTTACTCACTTTGGTGATTTTCCCATACACAACAATGCTCCATCGACAAAAAGCGCTGGCAAGTAATGAAGTAATATCGTCGCTATAAGATAAGCGTAGTAATTCTTATACAAATCGAAAGAATAATACCATATGGCTTTAACACTAGGTGTTTTCATTCCATGGCTGTAAGACAACCACATAAATTGTCCCCAATTCAAGGGTTGATCATTACTTGATTCAAAATGATAAACCGGAATATCATATTTCATACAACTTTTTTTGGCCTTTTCATATTTTACCCCCACATCCCAACCGGTGGCTATCAAAGAATTGACACACATGTCAACTGGGACGATATTAGCATTAACTTCACTATTTGCATGCAGTGTACGAAGAATTCCACTTCCAGCGCCAGCACAAACACCAGTTGGACCATAAAGGTTGTTAATCCAAGCTTCAGTCGGTTCTTGATATGTTGATACAACTAATTTTTTTTTTTTTGAATAAATTTTTCTTAATTCATTTTTGGTCACTTACCAATTGATGGTCTGTAAATCCCAATGGGCAAATCTTGTCCATCTTGTCTAACTATGTCTTCCGCAACTGCTTTAGTGTAAGTGTATGTATTTGGCCACTTATCCAAAACTCTAAAACAATTAAATCACTAATCTGTCTCAATTCAGTTTTTTTCCTCACAATGGAGTGATGTTATCCAAAACGTTATCTCCCAAAGTTTCAGCCAAAAGAATCAATTTCTTGCTATCTACTGGCACCGAATATAATCGTTCTTCTATAATAGTATTTGGAACATTGGAATAAGCAGTCGACACATGCACCAATGACTTCAAGTGTGGCATTTCACGTGCCAATTTGAGGATTTCTTGAGGAGCTCGGACGTTTATGGCTACAGCCATTTTCAATTTTTCATCAAAGCGGACCGTCGCTGCCACATGGAATATGATGGAAACCTGAACCATTTTTAAGCATAAATAAACAATCGGTCTCTCCCTACATGTGCGTGAAGAATCTTAAATATGTTTCTTTGGCAAATATTAATTTATTCAAGTCATGAAAAGCTGAAGAATCAATATTTTATATGGTAAAACAAAAGGAATTTATAGATTTCTTGAAGAGATAATATTTGCGTTTTGAGTTGTGTTAATAATGCATTAAATATATGAAATTGTAAAAAGTTTAACACGAATGAACGACTATATACTTTTCTGTGTGTACAGGGTGTCCCAAGATTGAGGGCCGGCGCAAAAATAAATATTTCTAATTGATTAAAAAAAAAATTGTTGATGCAAACGATAGAGTATGTCCCTCGTTTGAGTTTACAAGAGGAAATTTTTTTTTATCTTTGATTTTACCAAAACTGCAAAGGAAAAACATCGTTTGCTTTACAAAACGAGCAAATCTGTACATAAAACTTCATTGTTCTAATTCAGTGAAAAGAAAAGTTATTTTTTCTCTTGATTTTTGACTTATATTTTTTTTCTGCTTTTTAAGTTCTATTACATTGGCATAAGTCCAAAATCAAGTAAAAAATGAACTTTTTTATTATACCTGCATCATAATCCTAAATTAAAACAAGCTGCAGCGTGCGTAATTTGGCCTTTATAGCACGCTGAATTTTAAAGTTGTCTAGGTAACAAGAAATAGTGAAATGTCTGGACCAATTACAACATGAAAAAATGTGCTTAACAACGTAAACTAGTAACCGTCTCTACGAAAACGATTCACAAACAACCTTTCATAATTTTATTGTGTAAATTCACATTTTTTAATGCTCATAAAAGATCGTAAATGGGCAGGTATAATAAAAAATAGCGTATAACACTCGTTTATAAGCGCCTTTAAAACACTTACGATGTTAAAAGCACTCCGCTGACGCGTCGTGCTCTTAAACCCGTTATGCGTGTTTTAAAGGCTTGGTAGTAGTATAATATACTATTCTTTCTACTGAGTTAGAATAATGAAGTTTTAATTACAGATTTACGCGTTTCAGGTAAAGCAAAAATGATTTTTCTTTCCAGTTTTGGCGTAAAATCAAAAATAATATTTTTTTTCCCCTTGTAAACTCAATCCGGGGAAATACTGTAGACTTCAATTTGAAGCTTTAATATTATTCAAAATTTTTGGCGTATGTCAGTAAGACCCTTAAAACTAAGTTTCGATTTTTTTTTTATTAATTGGAATCTTTTCTACATGATAAAATCCCTTGATTTTTATCTAATGGAAACTGTGAAAATTGAGTAATGTAAAAGTTGATAGATTTTTAGTAATTAACATTTTAATATTGAAAATTGGGAGTTCTGGTATTTTATGACCAAGAGTCCAGAAGTTCTGGCCTGATCACCAATTACCGCAAACCCCCCCATAAATTATTCCAAGTTTCAGATTTTCAATATTAAAATGTTACGTATTCAAAACCTATCAACTTTATTATTATTGTATTTTTACAAATACAGCAGAAAAAAAATTAAAGAATTGTATCATGCAGCAAATATTCCAGTTAATTGAAACCAAATTTAATTTTTAAAGTCTCACTGTCATACGCTAAAAATTTTGTACAATATCACAACATCAACTTAAAATGTATTTAATCTCTATCGTTTACACTATCAATTTTTTTTTAATTAAATAGAAATATTTATTTTTGCCCCGGCCCTAAAACTTGGGACACCGTGTTCGGATTTCAATTGTATGTAATGAATAAAAAAAAACTTCGTTTACATTGCATTTTTGTTTTTTTTGAAAATTTTTCCGACGTTAAAGTAGAGGTTGCACCTTTTATTTCATAACCTTTAAACATTTGGATTAGACAAGTTTAGTTATTTTGACTTCTTTTGAGTCCTACTTATCACGTGTTAAAATATTTGCACATAATTTAAAATTTAAACATTTAATTCAGCTTTAAATGCAATTAATAGAAAATCTTTCTATCTGTTGTTTTACATTATTATAAGAACTAAGTAAAAAAAGTAAAAGTAAGTATGTTAAATGTTTTGTGGTTTAAAAACGTTCTTTTTTGTATGAAAATAACATTATTAGAAAAGTCAAGTATTGACGACACAACAACAAATGAATATGTAGAAACCTTTTTGTTAATTGTTGTTTAAATTTGAACAATCGTAAGTGTTTCGAATTGTTAAACAGCTTACTAACAAATATTATATAATCCGGAAAACTTGGAACTAAAAACAAATGCAAAGAAGTAATAATATACAAGATGTGTCAGAACCAGCGAAAAATTTCAAGTAAGATAAGATAAAATAAGATAAGAAATTTTGACATTTATTTTTTGACATTTAACTTTTTTTTGTTTATTTAATGATACTGATGATCTTGTATATGTTTTTTATAATTAATTAGTAAAGGTACAAAAATTTTGCCAATAGAAGCCACAAATAACATTAAACAGAGTTACAATTTAGGATACAGCTTCCTTGTTTCCTCTTCTAATAGCCTGTAGAAAAAAAAACTTGGAATATTATTTTTTCAACAGAAATAAATGCAAAATTTTAGACTCTCATAACTTCAAAATTTTTCTAGATAGAATTTTTTAAACATTTTTTTCATGTTTCTGGTATCTCTGGGACGCGAATCTGGCGCACCCTGTATATATTTTTTAATACTTTAATCAAAAAAATTTTTAATTGTTTAATAAAAAAAAACTAACTAAAGTGTTTTGCATTATAAGAGCGAATGAACAAAACCATTTCTCCTATTGCGCAATTATAATTTGGTCAGAAGTTCGGTTTCTTTTACTGTGACAATTAGAGGATGTAAATACAATATACACAAAAAATGCGCTTTCTTAAATTGATTTAAAACTCAAATTTTGAGAAAGCCAGTGAACTCTTCTCGTCCAATTTTTTGCCGTAAAAAGAAAGTACATATATTAAATAATAAAGTTGTTTATGTCAAAAAAAACCTGACTTGAATGTTCTTCCGTAACCGCTCAGAGCATTTTTTTCAATCTCTCTATCACTGCAGTGCGTTTAGAATTATGCATGAAACTGAACTGAATTCAAGGTAATTGCCATTGCGTCATTAATTTTAATAAGACACATACCTCATTGATGAGTACTTGTCGGTCCTGTTGACTTATCCCCAAATCCGGGAGACTACAATCACCTCCAATTCCCACAATCTTGTGTCTGAACTTCGGAAATTCTTTTTTTAGTCGGTCGAAAATTGAATCGTCGAATAATTCGTCGATGCGACTTTGGAGATTCTTCCCTTTTTTGTTACGTGCAAGGACGTAAATCGTCGATAGGTCACTGCAAGAACGCAGCAATTTTTCGATGAGAATAGTGCCCAAAAAACCCGTGCCGCCTGTTATGAAAATGTTTGTTCCAGAGTAAAATTCCTGGATCGGAGTCAAATTTGAGATTTCAGCTGAAAAAAAAATCAACAAAGTTTCTTCAGCTTTTTAGTTAAAAGTTTAAAAGAAAAAATAAATAAACTTTTATGGATTTAGTTAAAATTTAAAAAAATGCTGTTTTTTGGGACAGCCTGAAATTATTTTTCTAAAATTATTAAACATTTTTAATTCATAATTGAATCGACATTTTTAATGAGATTTGTTCAATTTATTTGCGTTGGATGTTTGTAAAACAATTGACACTCTAATGACATTTTTTCTAAATACAGCCAAAACAAATTCATTTTTCAAAAAATAAATCGAATTTCATTTTTAACGATACGGATATGTTGTTAGGTAAATTGTGCGACAATTTTTTTAATTCGACTTTCTTTGGTCTAATTTAAATGTAGTAGCAGGTCTTATGTAAATATGATGCAACCTACGAGTGACCATTTCTTCCTAAGCATACCAATGTGTTTTTTTTGTGTAACGACACTTTCTCTACATTGACAAACACGATTGTGACATTGATACACAAATTTCAAAAATCACACAATTTTTTCTACTCACCGATTTGTGTCATTTTTCCGAAGAATATAGGTTTTAAAGCACAAACACTACCACACTATTAATGCAACCTTTAATTACCAAAAAGAATGCTTTTGATAGTACCGCGTCAAGTGTAGGCGACTAGATTCGTCGCCTTAGTAAACGAAGTGTTGTAAACGCGGGTGATTTTATTGTGTTACTTTACAGGGATGGATCGTACGGAATCGGTCTACATATATCGGAGTGGGGGACACCAAATGCATTGCAAATAAAAATGTAAAAGTTGGGACTGGTGGAAAATTAATAGAAAGAGGGACAAAAATAAAAAAACTTTAGACCTTCAAAAGTGGACTGGAACCGATAAAAAACAATTATTTGTATTTTTATAATTATTCTGATATGAAATAAGTAATGTTCACAAGAAATATTAACTTTTATCAAATTTTATTCAACACTAAATGACAAAGTACCGCTTTTTATTCATAGCACAAGAAGATTTTAATTCAAAATTATAGGAGTATTATTTTTTAAACAAAATAAGAAAAAATCAGAAAGCAGAAAATTGATTTCTTTTAATTAGTAGAACATTTTTCAGCTATTAAAATAACAAGAGTTTTAAACTATATAAAACTTGTTTTGTCTTCAAAATTTTTTCTAACACTAATATTTAATCAGAAATTTTACTAAACTATTACAAAGAAATTTTATATAAATCACGACGTGATTTATAGAATAGTGTATATTTACAGTATAAGATGTTAGTGTTGGAAAAAGTAAATTTTCTGATATGGCTAAGAAATTGACTTAATTTCGTTTTTTTAGTTTAAAAATTATAAACATGTAATAAAAAACAATCATATTCATTTTGTTTATGTAAATTGATAACTACTATCGCTTCAAAAACTCTAAATTGCTCTTTTAGTTATCCAAGACACATACCTCATCAATGAAACGTATCGCGTAACTAGAACGGTATATTTTGGATTGCCTAGAATTTGAATCAGTGTAGTCTTGAAAAAAACAGATTTTTGATGAAAATTGGGAAAAATAATGGACAGCACTTTAAAAAAAAACAAAAACTGCGAATAAGTTAGGTTATGTTGAAGTTACGCAATAAGTTCTAAGTGTCATGAATAACGAGAGCAAAAATTTAAAAAATCACGTGGTGTATATTCCAATGTGAACATTTGAAACATTACGTGGGACGTGTTTAGGACAAAATCGTACTCGTATTTGTATTTTATTAAAGATTATTATTTACTATTTTATTTTTTGTAGCAAGGACTCTCTAAGCTAGCAAAATAAAAAAAAATGTTCCCACAGATTTCTTCCCGACCCGACCCTGAGGCAAGCATTATTTAGTAAACAGCACTTTACCTAGATATGCATTACAAAAACAAAATAATAAATTGATGACACTGCTATTAAAATTAAGAGAATTAGTAACTGTTAATATCAGTTTCCAAATTAGTGTTCTTACTTGTTGGGAAGAAAATTCTAGAAAAATTTAGTCTATAAATTTTCCTAGTAAATTATTTCGGACAGATATTTAAAATTAATTTATTATGCATTTGCCTAATTATCTTTTACTTTCATTGTCTTATCAGTAAAGTACCATTCCTACAACAAATTTTTCCATTCATTTACAAAGATCTTTTTTAAAAGAATATTTTACTATTAGGGACTTTAAAAATGTAAATAAATATGTGTTAAACAGTTTAGAAAATTAATGTACTTTTGATTTGAACAAATTAAATTTAAAAATTAAAATGTAAAGCGGCTTTTAAGTAACTATTTATCACAAATAATTTTTTTTCACAAAAAAATTTTCGTCCAATTTTTGAGATATTTTTTAGTATTGCGCAACAATGATTAAAAAAAACTCATAATATTGATTGATTTAAGAGAATTATTTTTATATAAAGAAGAAAAATTATTAAAAGCCTTTCTCGAATCTTGCCCATGCCCTTGACACTCACTTTTGCATAATGTATACGATAATAATAAATTACTATTACTTTTACTAATCTTTTTCCACTTTGTCTTTTTATGTCACGGTACAATTTCAAGCGTAAAATAAACAAATAGCTCGTTTGATTGATTTACATATTGTTGGATGTAAAAGTTGAAATTATATTCAGGAAATGCAAATCCGGAATCCGTTTTCGTGCTAATTAGTTTTCATTGATTGCCTTCCATTAAACACAACGCGATTCTATTTTAGTCCCATCAAATTTGGAATAATTTTCATATTTACATTCGAGTAAATCATTCGGCCTTGGTAGTACCTACCAGCCGTTTAGATTAAGGGGTTTTAAAAAACAAACATCTTTTTTTTTGGGAGACGGTTTGTGTGACGTCAATCGAGCAGGTACTTTCCAAAGAGTCCCTTTTTCTTCTTGTTGCGATGAAAACAACTCGGGTTCAACCACTGCACTGTCAGTGTCAAGGTGAAAGACTTCCAAAAGTGTTGTTCTTTTATGTTTTTTTTGGTGGCACTGTTTGAGTAAGTGGTACTTGCTTCACGGTCACGGGCGAGTACCGTTACTATGTGTAACATACTTAATAAGATTTTTTGTACGGAGGATGTGGGTTTTTAGGTGAAGAAAACCGATGTGTTACTGTTTATTAGTGCAATTGCAATAATTGCATGCATCGTGCATCTGTCGGTTATTGTATTTGTATTGTATTGTATGTGTTCCATCATCACGAAAAGAAAACATTTTGCAAAAAATTATGAAAAATAAATAAGAATTGGAATATTATCAGATTATCACTATTATCAGTGTTACGATTTGACTCTTGGCATTTCTTTGATATGAATGAATGATATTCATAATTTTTACTTACCTTATCCTATAAGAAAAGTATTGTAATCGGCTGAAATTTGACATGCCTAAATTTTTATATTTCTGGACGAATTAGAGCTTCAAGACACCAAAAAAGTTGGTTTGGGCCATTGGGTCGTGTGTGTGTGGAAAGGAACGCAGCACGAAACAATTGGTAAAATCGGTCGTAACGTTCGGCCGCAAAGACTAAAAATCTTTTTTTTTTAAAGCGGCAGCAAAATTATACGGTTGAAGATACAATAAATTCATGGGGATAAAAATTATTTAGAATCATGAAATATACCTTATTTATTTCGCGTGTAATCCGGCAGGTGGCACTAACGCAAACGTTAGGTTTGCTACTCGGATTTCCAACACTAAATTATTGTCGTAAGGATGTTTCCCAAATTAGTTGGATAAGGAAAGTCGTGTGATGTTCACACCAGTTCAAGAGCGTTTATATTTGTAATCCTAGAAGTACCTATATTATTAACATATATATCACGATTGACGACGACCATCTCTACATACTTATACGTATGATAATTCACCATTCTGATCAAATCTTAGGATATAAAATATGTAGCAGGTGGATTTACTAACCAGGCTTGTCAATAATATTCCAGACATAGGCTTAGTCATTTTTGCTTTCTTTTCTCATTTTAATGCAATTAATGTTTCTTAAGCAGTGGAATTCCCAACGCAGACGTGATTTCGTGAAAAAGCTGTGACAGACTTATATCCTCAATGGGGATTCCCCATATTTCCACTTTCCAAGATGCAGTAGGTATGTATTCGCATACCGGGACGGGCTTCGATTACGAGCACTTGATAAATCGCGACTTTTAATTAATTAAAACTGGCGATATTTCATATAATTGTATACCTAACTAATTATTGATAGGATGATAAGATAGATTTGAGAATTTTTCAATTTTTTTTTGATAATAAATCAGATCGTAACAGTTTTGTGTGTTTTATGAACTCTTTCTGTTAATTTACCTATAAAGTTTTTACACTAAATGAATCTGTATCTGCTAGCGCATCAAATTTTAATATCGCAATTACAAATTTTGGCTTGGTTAGCTAAATAATCGCTTTTTTATTTAAACACAAGCCAGACGGAAAATTGTGTTTAATTCAAAATCTAATTGTTTTTTTTTTCTGATTTTGTAAACAATTACAAGAAGTGAATCTGCGTAGGTCAGTATAAAAATTAGTATTCAACTTTTTGGGAAAAAATTACTTTTAATATTTTTTGCCTTTGTAAACAAAAAATTACCAAAAAAATATGAAATGTACCTTATCAATGCACAGGTATGGGAAAAATTTCAACAATTTTATTTAATTAGAAGTAGGGATTTCTTTCCTGCGCGTAATCGATGCCCCACCCAGTATACACGGTGTGTGCAAAATGTTAAGTAAGATAAGATACCAGGAACATGAAAACAATGTTAAAAAAAATTCTATCTAGAAAAATTTCGAAGTTATGAGAGTCTAAAATTTTGCACTTTGACTCTATTTATTTCTGTTGAAAAAATAATTTTCCAAGTTTTTTTCCTACAGGCTACAAATCCCATCTGTCAAAAAATTTTGACATTTAATTTTTGACACTTGATCTTTTATTGTTATCGATGATTCTGTCTATGTTTTTTATAATTATTCATTAATGATTGTGGCCAATAAAAGCCACAAGTAACGTTAAACAAAGTTACAATTCAGGATACAGCTTCTTTGTTTCTTCTTCTAATTGCCTGCATCAAAAAAATGTGGAAAATTATGTTTCTAAAATAAATAACAAGGGTCAAAGTGCAAAATTTGAATTCTCATAATTTGAATTCTCATAATTTGAATTCTCATAATTTTGAAATCCTTATAGGTAGACTTAAAAAAAAATCATGTTCCTGGTATTTTATCTTACTTGGCATTTTTCTCTGGGACGCGAGTTCTGAAACAGCCTGCATGGGCACCCGCAGAAATTATGGTCTCCCCCTCTGACCATAAATAGTAATTTTTCATTTCGTTCATGAAAATTTACGTTGGAACGCGTTTGCAAACAATCAAAAAAATCTTTTTATATATAAAATAGCAACCACTATCGCTCCAGGGGGGACAACAGCCCCCACTGGCCCTGTATATGTCTCTTGACAATTTTGGTTGTAGCTTTTTATTACAGTGTTATTAAGCTAAATTTTATTGGTCGTTTTTGAAATAAGTTTTCTTTTAACGAAAACATACTCTTTTAAAAAATTTATAACACAAAAACTAAGACAGTTAAAAAAAAATTTACTATACGTACTGCTAAGTATAAGAAAAAAGTACAAACTTTAAAGCTATAAGAAAATTGTCTTAAAAAGTTAATTAGCTCACTGTTGAAACTTTTGATATAAAATAAAAAGTTGGGGCAGGCATAATGTGCAAATCCACACTGAAATCAATTTTAATGGTAAATGTCTATATCTTTCGACATGTATCCATCAATTTAAATATTATTGTGTATTTGATAATCACTATTTATTCTAAGTCATGAAAATTAAATATAAGAATTACGAAATTGTTCACAAGAAAGTTTAAAAGCTATCAAAGTTTTCATGTAATTATTTGGAACTGTTTTTATTACTAAAAAAATTCGAAAATTCTATTATCAAATAAAATTGTTAATTGATACACAAGCCGACATAATAATTTTTTTATTCAATTGTTCTAAAATGTGGTAATTTTCAGTTTGAATATCCGAACGAAAATAGTAGATTATATCACTAAGATAAAAAGTGAGCCCAGAGATTACAAAAAATACTAATTTATCTTCAAGCGTATCACAAAGAAACAGAAATTTGGAATCGGTTTACTTTTTGAATGACCATTTTAATATTTTTGATTTTGTCATTTCCGTCATCTATGTACATGGGCGACTCATGATACACCAGTGGGGTAATAATTTTGTTATTTCGTTTTTTTTCTAAGCTTTTTTTAGTAGGTATAATTTAATTAATAATTCGTGCAACAATTGATTTATAAATCGTGATTTCACCGTGTGAAATTCTTCAAACAACCTCATATTTGACTCAGTCTAGCCGCCCCTGTGGACATTTCAACTCCATGGACTTGAAGTCTTTCAACTTCGGTTATATACTCCATTATGTCCATTGAAACTTGAAGATAAAATTATGTAGGTATAATATGTTTATTATACATAATAAGAAAAGCAAATATTAGGGAACTTTGTCTTGAATTTTCATTTATTTACAATACCAATTGTTATACGTCCAAAACAATAATTATTCTTATCAGTTATTCTTCACCTACTTTACCGTAGGTACCAATATTACATGATAAGCATTGCTAAGTTAATTTAATGAATGCTTGTGGAAATTCTCATCAATCCACCTTTTGTAGTGCGCTATTTTGACGTAGACTCCAGGTTTATTAGCGTAGCCGCAATGCTGCCCCCATGACGTGATTCCATATAAAGTAAAAACACCTAAAAATGATTAATAAGTCCTCCTAGTTTGTAAAAATAAACCACGTACCATCATATAAGCAAGCTAAAGGCCCTCCACTATCACCATCACACGAATCAATTCCTTCATCTAAGGACCCGGCACAAATCATCCCTTCGGTCAAAGCATCCCCATAAACGTGTGGCATAGTACAAATTTCTCGTTTTTGCAGTGGTACCCACCCAGCTCTTAAATTATGCGAAAACGCTACAAAACATTATAAAAAACTAATAAATGCATATTAAAAAACAAGGGATTATTTTGGGGCCAACAATATTTTTAATGGAATTTTTACCAGATTTTCCACTTTCTATTGACCCGTAACCAGAGATGGTACAGTTCAAATCAGTCTCATAATTCGTGTCGGAGTCTGGTAAACAAATAGCTTGAACGTCATCGTTCAGCCTGAATCCACGGCCTTTCAACTTGATCAGTGCAATGTCATTGTTCATCTTATGCCCTTGACGGAAATTTTCGTGGAGGTAATAATCTTCGATGTAGGCTTCTTGTTCTGTTCCTTCATATTCGTCGACGTTGTAGTCGCCGGCGACCACCACGTAGGCCCCTTTGGAGTACCCGATGAGGCAATGGGCGGCCGTTAGGACAAACTTCTCGGAAATAATGACAGCACCGCACCAATGGGCGGCTTTGGTTTTGCCTTTGACTCGGATAGCAGCCTTGAAAGTGATGAATTATGGGTCTATCACATAGTCAAAATTGTAAGAAAAAAAACGGGTAGTAATAAAACGATCAGTAAATAATTCAATTTTGACCAGTATAAAATGATAAATGATCCGTATTTAATTAATTTTTGCACAGTAAAAAATTAAAAATGATCAGTATAATATAATATTTCGCACAGTAAAAATAATAAATGCTAAGTAAAGCACGCACAGTATTTTATTGTAATTTGTTCAGTAAAAAAATCCAATTTGCACAGTAAAAATAATAAACGCTCAGTTACTTTAATAAAAATTAGTAAAACAACATTAAATTTAAAGAATTTTCAGTCTTGGTTACATAACAATGTATGGCTCCTGCGCAAGAATGTTATTTGTTATTTGGTATTTATTTTTATATTACTGAATATTTATTATTATTGGAGGGTGATATAGTACTCGTCACGATATTTGAACTGTTGTAAATCTTAAGTCGGGTACCCGAATTACTTTTAACAATAAAGGCAATTGGGTTGTCGTAAGTAATCCAACAGTCTGGGACACAACATCAGAATGGTCCGGACTCGTCAGTGATTACAACCACTCCAATATCTTATTGTTAAGGGTAATTCGGGTACCCGCCTTAAGATTTACGATAGTTCAAATATCGTGACGAGTACTATATATGTATTAGCAAAGGCCCCTGCGCAAGAATGATTTTAGCAATGGCTAGAAACTGTGCACAAATGGTAATTAGTCTAAACAGCGTACGCCACTCTGTGCATTGCTGTGCTTCTGATACCACAATTTTGCTTTGCGATATTCCGATTTTGTTCGGAAACATTTTGTTTGTAAATGTGTGAATATTAAATTAATTAGTGTTGCTAGACATTCATTCATTGTTTACTGTGCATTTATTATTTATTATTTTACCGTGCATTTATTATATATTATTTTATTGTGCATTTACTATTTTTACTGTGTATATATTATTTACTGATAAAAAATACTTGTCGTTTAGATAATACAGAATGGGCCAGAACTGGCGCCCCAGAGAAAAATTTCAAATAGGATAAAACACCAGGAACATGGAAAAAATGTTGAAAAAATTCTATCTGTCATAAAATTTTGACATTTATTTTTTGACATTTAATATTTTTTTATGTCTATTTAATGATACTGATGTTCTTGTATATGTTTTTTACAATTATTTAGTAAAGGTACAAAAATTTTGCCTATAAAAGTCACAAATAACATTGAACAGAGTTACGATACAGCTTCCTTGTTTCCTCTTCTAATAGCCTGTAGCAAAAAAACTTGGAAAATTGTTTTTCCAACAGAAATAAATAGAGTCAGAGTGCAAAATTTAAACTCTCATAACTTCGAAATTTTTATAGATATTTTTTTTAACATTTTTTCCATGTTCGTGGTATCTTACCTTATATGACATATACATATGACTGTATAGTGTAAATCTAATTTGTTCCCGAAAAAAACACTACATAGCAAAGAAATACAGTCAAAGTTCAAAAGTATAGGCTATCCTAATGAAAACGAGCTACCACGAATATCTCAGAAACTAAAAACATTTTGTAAAAACGCCGTTTCCGAGGGGGATATTTTTTGACGTAATCTTTAAAGCATCCTCAGTAACTCTTTAACTCCCACACACCCCAACTTTAAAAATTGAAATAGCATTACTCTACTTGTGGCACATCAAATGAAAGCTTTTTTAACAAGCTTTTTAAAAACTTTTTACTAAAATTGAATCAAACTATTCATCCATGAGATATAGGGTGTTCTAGTAAAAACAAACCCGAAAGAATTTGCAAAAAAAAACCGAAACAGGTTAATTTTGTACTTAAAAGGACATTTTTCGACGCAATTTTAAAAGCACCCCTACTAACCCTTTCAATTCCAATTCCGTAATCTCAAATGACACTGACTCACTTGCTACAGAAATAAAAGTGTTTTTAAAATGTTCTTTGAACCTCTTTTCTAAAGTTGAATGGGATTACCTATTTATAAGATATCCGCAAAAGGTAATGTTTCTAATTAGTAATTACTTCTAATAAAAACTACTAAAATAGATTATAAGAAACTTACTACTATTCTTATAATTATTATTACTTAAAAAATAGCAATATAGTTTTTAAGTTCCTTTGTTCATACTGACTGCTGAAAGATCTTTTTTTGTCTATATTTTATGAATGTATAGAAATCATTTCGTTTCCGAAAATATTTATTTTTGTTACAAGTACCTAAAATACAGTTTTTGCGGAAGAATCATTGCTGAGTCTGAAATAGTAGGTAAGTCCGTTAAAACGTTTTAGGTACATACGTGTTACAAACAACATTTTTTGTTAAAGCTTCCAAAAAACGAATTCGCATCTCTCATTAGTTAAAAAATTTTTGCCACCATAGTAACCAAATTGACTTTTTCGTCCGGAAAAACTGTTTTTGGGGACTAAGTACCTAAAGTATATTTCATTGAAATTGGCATAATAGGTGGCTATAGAATTTCGTATTTAAGTTTGTAGCCCTGTTGCATGTCCCTGATATAACAGCTGATGGGGTTTTTGTTTTTCTTTGATCACATAGTTTATTTAACTGACATGACTGACATTTGTATTCGTTTTTTCACTGTTTTCGTTGGTTGTTCGTTATTCCTACTATTTTTTCAAATTATAATTAAAAGTAGTTCTCTTCAGAACCCCAGATTTAAAGTACACGCTAAGGTATGTTTGAAACCATAATCAATTTCTTTTTGTTCATGTTTTAGGCATTTTAGGTTAATGGAATCAAATATACCAATTTGAATTAAGCCAGATTATTTTATCCACGGCAAAACACGATTTTTCAGGCTTCAGTACGCGAAGCTTCATTTTGTACAGATTTCCTTTTGCCACTCCGATCACAATAACTTTACCATTGTTTAAAAATTCACAATTTTGTCCTACATTTTTAATGACAAAATCCAAACCCCTTTTAGCTGCAACTTTCACGGAAAATAAATTGCGTTTCATCTCCGGTGTGAATAAAACGTCTTTTAAAATTCCTGGAAGCCACTTAATATATCAACGAAAGTCTGTATTTTCTACAAAGCAAATAGTGTATGTTTTTAGTGTCAAAACTACACCTACAAAGGGATGAAACTTTTTATGGAGAAAAACTCTCTCTGAAAACCTTTGAAAGAGGGTTCTTGAAAAATAAAATTTTAACTATCTTAGCCTCAGTTTTTTTAGTGACAAATTTAGTTCCTTAATATGTAAAGCCTTTTTCACATTTAAAGCGCAGTTTACACAATCATGGCCTACTGTTATGCCAATTTAAATGAAATGGATTATAAAATTACTGTTTTAGGTACTATTTTACTGAGTCCGGAAAAGACTCATTTTAGGGACTCAAATTTTAATGACTCAAATAGCTGTTTTAGGGACTCAAATGAGTCTCAAATGAAGAGCGTATATAAAAAAATCTTTTAAAGAGCATTTCAGTGTTTTCATATTTTTATCATTAATGTGTTGACGCTATTTGACATTTTAGAGTTAAGTGGCATAGAGGTTTAAGGATTTGTGAAGGTGTTTTTAAAATTGCGTCAAAAATGTCTCTTTTAAAAACAAAATTAACCTGTTTTGTTTGTTTTTGGTTGTTCGTTTGTACCTCATGAATGGATAGTCTGATTCAATTTTGGTAAAAAGTCTTGAAAAGCTCCTTAAAATAGCTTTCATTTGATGTGCCACAAGTGGGGTAGTGCCTTTTAAATTTTTAAAGTTGGAGTGCGTCAGGGTTTGGGGGCTACTGGAGGTCCTTTAAAAGTTACGTCAAAAAATGTCCCCCTTGGAAACAAAATTGACCTGTTTCGGCGTTTTTGCAAAGTCTTTTTAGTTTCTGAAATATTCAAAATGGCTCGTTTTCATTGGGACAACCGACTTGCTCGTTTTGCTAGGTGTATTATAACAACAAATTAATAATAATTGTAATAACAGTTAGTGAAAGGAAAGATTACCTGCCAGGGATAGTCACCCCTTTGGGCCATGGATCCGCGAACTACGCGGAAATGGACGTCATCGTTTTGGTTAAAGATGTTGTTTTTACGATATCCACATCTAAAAATGTGAAGTGAGTAAGTAAACTTTCTAATAATGGTACTTGTATAGAAGAGTGTTTGTAGCACGTATATGCCGTCGTTAATTAGCAATCCTTTGATCATTAATTATTGAAATTTAAAATTCGTAATACTTAACAAGTATTATATAATTTTAAATATAGGTTATTTAGGAAAACTTGTCATTCATATTTTGTACCTCAGCGTCTACAATCCTATAATCTCAATAGGTATCAAATTTTATAGGAATGCAATACTATAATTAGAAATTTATTTAGCTTTGTTTTGAAATTATTACCAATCCACGGTTACACTTTGACTTATAATAATCATGAGGGGGCTGATGACTAACAGTGAGTACCTAAATGTAAATAGGCTAATTAATGACCAAAACTCATTAATGATAATTTTTTGTTACGTGAGTTCCATTTCCATATAAACAGTGACCCCTTTTGTTTGTTTTGTTACCAAAAGATTATTTGTTTATAATTATTTACAAACTATAAAAAACAGATAATTTTGTACAACTTTTATAACATTCCATCAACATTTTATTTAAACTTTTTAATCTAACTGCATATAGAAAAATAAATAAATAAAACAAATAAATATATAAATAGAAACAACAAAACTTGCACTTAAATGCAATAAATACTACAAAAAAGTAAACAGATGCAAATAATATATTAGTGTCGGATTCTTTATACCTGCACCGCGGAAGGGTCTTCAAAAATTCCATTAGATATTTTAACAATGTAGCTATTGTTGTGGTAATAAATACAGGGTGCGCCAGAACTCGCGCCCCAGAGAAAATTTTCAAGTAAGCTAAGATACCAGGAACACGAAAAAAATGTTAAAAAAATTCTATCTGTCAAAAATTTTTGACATTTGACATATTTTTATATCTATTTAATGATACTGATGATCTTGTATATGTTTTTTTACAATTATTTAGTAAAGGGACAAAAATTTTGCCAATAAAAGCCACAAATAACATTGAACATAGTTACAACTTAGGATACAGCTTCCTTGTTTCTTCTTTTAATAGCCTATAACAAAAAGACTTGGAAAATTATTTTTCCAACAGAAATAAATAGAGTCAAAGTGCCAACTTTAAACCCTCATAACTTCGCAATTTTTATAGATATTTTTTTTTAACATTTTTTCCATGTTTTTGGTATTTTACCTTATATACGGCATTTTTCTCTCTTCTGGGGCGCGAGTTCTGGCGCACCCTGCATAATATAAATTATACATTTTCAATAATTTAAATTTTTGTGAAGTAAATTAGTAATAGTTTATGAATCAAATGCAAAAAATTTAGTAACCCAAAACTTGACTGCGTCAAGTTTTAGAATACGTTCAAAAATAGTCATTATCGCATAACGGGGAGTAGAAATCAACTTTTCTTATATCAAGACTGTGACAGAAGTCAAAATTCTCTAATGAGGGAGAGAAATGAACATAACGACGGAAGCAAATATTTGTTCTCGTTACTAAGTCATTCCCATTCATTGATAGGCTCATTGTCTCATTACCAACAATAGTATATTAAAAAACAAGTGTTACAAACACTCTCATTGTGACACGAGCCACGCAGTGGCGAGTGTTACAAATGCACGAATATCACAATGAGAGGTTGTAATATGCGTTTTTTATACCAATTTTCAATTTTTTTTTAATTGAACATATTATTATATAAGGTTTTTCAATTCAGCTTCCGTATTCTGTAGCTTAAGTTGTAATTTTGATATTTTGTAAACTTTATTTATATTCTAGGGCGGCCCATTTGAAGAAAATATTTTTGATTATGCAGAATGTCCCAAAAAATGTGACGTCATAGTGATGTATATTTTTTTAATGATATGCTATTATTTTTTATGCTTATTAGGATGCCTTTCTAGTTATTTACATATCCCTATAATTTTTTCAATCGGTTCAGGCATTTCTGTAAAAAAATGTTAACTAAAAAATTCTGTTTTGCACCTTTACTTTTAAAAATTAGTAAAAAATGCAAATAGTGCTTTTTTAATAAAATTAACAGTCTTGTTAATCAAGTTTGGTTGATCTGAATTAATACGGGGTGTGCACAACTTACTACCAAACCTTTGAAACTTAATTTTATTACAGCGTGTGTCAGAACTCGCGCCCCAGAGAAAAATTTTAAGTAAGATAAAATACCAGGAACATGGAAAAATGTTTAAAAAATTCTATCTGTTAAAAAAATTTTAAATTTACGTTTTGGCATTTGATATTTTTTATGTCTATTTAATGATACTAATAATTTTGTATATATTTTTTTTATAATTTTTTAGTAAAAGTACAAAAAGCCACAACATCAAACAAAGTTACAATTTAGAATACAGCTTCCTTGTTCCCTCTTCTAATAGTCTGCAGCAAAACAACTTAAAAAATTATTTTTCCAGTAGAAATAAGTGCAAAATTTAAACACACATAACTTCAAAATTTTTAGAGATGAAATTTTTTTAACATTTTTTCTGTGTTCCTGATATCTTACCTTACATGACGTTTTTCTCTGGGGCGCGAGTTCTGGCGCACCCTGTATTTTAAATTAGAACAACTATTTATTTTTATGTCATTCGAAGTTAAATTAAAAATAAAAAGCTTTTAAATTTGAAAAGTTTGATGGTATAAGTTGTGTAGTAATTCGGATCAACCAGGCTTGATTAACTAACAAGACTGTTAGAGTTTATTTAATCAAAAAAATATATCATTATGACGTTACATTTTTTGGGACATTCTGTATAATCAAAAATATTTTATTATGAAATGCGCCCTAGAATATAAATAAAGTTCACAAACTATCAAAATTCTAACGAGCTAAAATGAAGCACTCAATATTTGACAGTTAAAATTTTTGACACTTGACGTATGCGGTACCGAAATTGTTCAATTGTTCAATAGCTTAAATTGCATTGGTTTCGGTGAAATACATTAAACTGCAAAAATTTCTTACTTAAAAAGGACAGTCTATGGCCTGTAATGGCTAAAGCATTGCATAAAATGTCGTTAAAAAACAGTATCACAAAATGCTCATTGTGACACCGAAATAGAAAAACATTTTTGTTGTTACCACGATGTAATTTCAAAGAATGCTAGCTAATTTTTAAATTTGATTAAACAATTATATACAATTTCTTGGAATTTTTAACTCATGACCAGTCATGACCAACTTGTACAAAATTCATTTCTTTTTGCTAAGCTGTAACTCTTCAACGAAGAAAGAAAAAAAAAGTTTTTTTTTTCTCTCACTAGTTGAGTGATGGCGCTTTTCTTTTGCGACACTTGTAATCTATTCTACTTTTAGTGGGATTATTAATAAAACGTGTGTGTACAGGGTGTCCCAAGTTTTTGGACTGACGCAAAAATAAATATTTCTAACTGATTAAAATGTCAGTGAGACCCTAAAAAACTTGGAAAAACAATTATTTAATAATTGGAATCTTTTCTACAAGATAAAATTCTTTGATTTTTTCTAATGTTAATTGTGAAAATTGAATAATGTGAAAGTTGATAGATTTTGAGTAATTAACATTTCAATATTGAAAATTGGGAATTCTGGTAATTTATGGCCAAGTTTGGGATGATGCACTGACAGTAGAGCAGAGGCTTTACAATAGAGCCCAGGTACGTTATAAAGGTCATTGCGGACGTTTTTCTTTTGTCAAGAAATTCTGGCCTGATCATCAATTACCGCAAACCCCCCCATGAATTATTCCAAGTTTCAGATTTTCCATAATAAAATGTTAATTATTCAAAATTTAACAACTTTAGCATGTAGAAAATATTCCAATTAAATGAAATGTCTTTTTACAAATTTAATTTTTAAGGTCTCACTGTCATACGCTAAAAATTTTGTACAATATCAAAACATCAAATTAAAGTGTATGTAATTCTCTATCGTTTACATCAATTAGAAATATTTATTTTTGCGCCGCCAATAAAACTTTGGACCCCCTGTATTTTAAAATTGCTACGTCTCTAGAGCTGCAAGTTTTTGTGTCAATATATCAGGCTTTTTCCACTATTATTTACCTATCAGGATATGTTTGTTGTATGGTAGGTATCGGGATCATTGAATGTCGTTCATGTTCGTAAAAATTGCTGCAAATAACCCCCACATCTTCACTGTGTTCGCAGTTGTGCTCTCCCCAATTCCAATGGGTGCAATTTTCGATGCTGGACTCATTTCCAGAGCAAATCACTTGATCCAACCAGATCGGCCCAGTCCCTAGAATTACAGGAAACGCCTCAATTGTTACATTGTCGCATAACTGAATAAGAATTAATGAAACATGTCTAGGTGCAAAAGTTTAGGTCGGGTCATGTAATATTTAAAAAATCATGCAAGTCATAGCAGTTCGTTTTTGACCTAATTATTTTCATTCTTGTGTCGGCTACTGTCAGAATTTTCGAAATGCACAGTTTTACAAACAAAGCGTATGGAAATTAGCGTCCGGTCTTACCGGCTCCGAAATAGCCATCTTTTTTCACAACGACTGACCCCCTGAAGCCCAAACGTTTGCAAACGACTTTGGCGGCGTCCTCATTAAAGTCGTCGTCACAGATGGTGCCCCAAATGCCGTGGTGGCGGATTTCGACACGACCTTGTTGGCGATTTGTCCCATTGACAAGACGGATTTCGGTTGGAGCCTAGAATGCTTCTGTTTTAGGAAATAAGTGGCAATGAGAAGACCTACATCACAGTGTTGACTTCCTTCGTCTGAGCCATCTGTACAGTCAAGCAATCCGTCGCAGACAAAAGCCAGAGGAAGACATTCTTGGCCGGTATCGCATTGCCAATAGTCGTCAGAGCATTTTTCTTGGGGAGTTTTGCAAACTATTCCCACTGTCTGTCAATAATCAAAAACACAAAAAAGATTATGTTTCAAAAATTTTATAAAAGAAAATGTTTGCAAAAATGAAAACAAATAAATGAAATGAAATAAAAAAAATTCATTGTGATAGAAAAGATTGTCCTCCTAATAAACCGCGCGGACCCTTAGAGGCTGAACCCATAAACCACAACAATAAATCTTTTCCATTGTAAACGTCATTTCTTATTCAACAGTATATTTAGTTTGAAGTGAAACCCAGTTACCAATTTTACTTTCAACTAACAAATTATTTAAAAACATTTCAGAGCTTTATACTGCAACTTAAAATTAAAATAAAAAATTATTTTAATTGTTGTTTAATCAGTTATTTATTTACTAAGATAACAAATAAATGCCGTTTTAAAGGGCATAATTAAATAAACAATATTATTTTTAGAAATACCTAATAAAAACTACTATTACTAGGAATGAAAAGACCAAATCTAACCTGGGACTGTTTAATATAACTCTTTATAAATATTGATACTTACATTTTTTTTGATAAAGTTGTAAATAACAAATTAAATAATTTCATTATTAATTTTTATTCAATTCAAACAGGTAGACGTGCTGTCTTTTTGAACTCGTCGCAATCTTTACAAAAAAGAATATTTAAATTGAACTATTGAGATCTTTACAACCAAGATATTGCAATCGCAAAGCAATTGTAACAATTTGTTTTTGCTAATAATTGTTCAGTTTAGTTATTTTATTAAAACTTCTAAATTAATCATCAATTTTTATTTTTGTTTATTTTTGTGTATTAAAAAGAATTATAGCCATTGGAGAACTGTCTACCCTATTAATAAACAAACTATTGCCAAAAAATTACTTCTAGCTTTAATACAATAATATTTGCAAATTACCTTTTAATACTAATATGTAAAACAACCTGTTATA